ATCTAGCTGTTGCTGTCATCTGTTTCCAGGAAAATGTGCCCATGTTGGAACAAAAAAGAAAATCCCTCCGAGATAACCTTATCTGCAGATAAAATGTTATCTGTCATCCTGATTATGTCATAAGATTTCAGCAGAGCGTTATTCTGTGCATCTATAAATAAATAGGCCGGAAAATCCTGGAGGAGGTCTGCAGTCTGCTGTGTAATGCCCACGCACAAATAAAGGAGGCGGTAATTGTTACACACTTTAAAAATATAGAAAAAAATCACACCTTCTGTTCACACTTGTGCAAACCAAAAGGGAGTGCTGCACCCTTGCACGCACCATTGCACGACCGAACCCTTGGCAACCCAAAATGTACACCAAGAAACACTTAAAACTCATAGAGACGAACTCCTAAATCTGAGGATGTCCTTGTTAGTAAGCAGCTGAGGGTACACGAGTACTCTCAGCCGCATCATCAAAGCCTCAGCAATTACTCCCATGCTCCCTCTCTCTGGCATAAATCTGCTCTTATCTCAGCGCGCTGCAGGATCAGGGAATATCAGCTCCAGCATCTGCTCCATCTACAAACCCAGCCACTAAAAGCACAACAAAGTGGCTCTGCAGGCATAAATAAAGGAAGGAGGGGCACCGGAAGAAGCGAGGGGGGCATATAGAGAAACAGAGAATGAAAGATAGGCGGAGGGCGGCACAGGGGGTGTGTGTTCCTGCTTGTCTTGTTTGCCCGGAGCATTTGGGCTCATTCACATTGCAATCTGTCAATCAGCCAGACAAAAAAACTGATTTACAAGCAGCTCTGCTCGGTTTCAGAATGAATTCTTCACAGGAAATGAAGACATATGGAGAGAGGGGAGGCCGACAGCTCGGTTCGGGGTAGGAGGTCAGAGTTGAGGATTTAATAGTCAGGCAGATATGACGTTAAAGCCTGCATGTCATATTTATTGGAAAGGTTCAGATAATCGGTGACTCTGGGCCTGTGATCTCCAGAGAGGTTAAGAACCTGGCCCCAAGACACACACTTTTTGTACAAGTTTTCAAGTTTGTACCTAAGAGTCGACCAATTCCAGGTTATGTACACATAAGAGAAAGTTTCTCACACCTGGCTAAAGCAACAGGGATGAAAGATGAATAAGTCTCCCAACTATTTTTAGGAGGATGTTTATTTTCCTCACGACCAGACTGAAGCAACATCTTTCATTTTGACCTCTTTATCACAGCTGTGACCCTGACCTTCTTCCTCCACCTCTCATTCTGTCTCCCGTACCTACCTATCCTCTCTGCATTTCCTCCTTCCTCTCCGTGGCGCCCACTCCCATTCGTCCTAGGTCAACCACTCCCTGCACTCCAAAATACGCCCTTGTGAGAGAAAGGGAGAGCAAAGCTGGTACATTTTTCCTGCGATGCAAACTAGAGATACTGAAATTTACAGCCGTTAAAGGCTGCTCGACAGGAGCTTTAAAAAGCCGCAGCCCCCCTCCGGTCATGAAACGGTTATTGAGACAAAATGTAACAAGTTAATGTTATGAGGAAATACCTCAGCTCCAGGTGCTGGCTGCAGGTCAAGGGTGAGAGGTGATGGGTCATCCGCCACCCCTCAGGGCTCCCTGACCTCACAAGACTGATGAATGGTGTGCTAACAAGGACCAGCTCTCTCTTACTGTGTCTGCACTCTCTCTTCTTGTCTTTGACTGCCTCCGATTTTTCCCCGTTTTTCCTGACTCGCTCTCCTGAGGACTGATCTGGCAGCAACGGAGTAGTCATACTTATACCTGCTGAACCTTTAAAGTACCTCGCCATCTGTCGTCTCACTTGGATTTATAATTATCATCATATCACATTCAAACTAGGCACTGTCGCACTCTTACATAACCTAACCCCTATCTACCAGCGCATGCAATACTTAAGAATAGATTGAATAAATTATTATTGGGAGAGGTGTTAAATCTTGGCCGGCAATAGAAGTGCTCTCTTTCTAATGAGGCTTCTCTACCTCATCCCCGGCTTGTATCAGCACCGACGCAAGTGGAAAAGCTAATCACAGGCACATGCATGGACGACCCGCCTACACACACACACATGCAGATACACTCCTCATTTACACACACACACATTTATGCACAAATAGACAAGGCGCAGATGTGGACATTTATCAGACATACACACCCACACCTTGGCCATTTGCACAGCCGTATCATAGAGCCAATTAAAGAGATGAGTCTTATTAGCCGAGGTGTCCCAGCCCTCGTTCATCACAGGGGTTTCCTGGCAGGGGCTGGTGACACACAGGGCTCTTTGTCATCTTTATGGGGCCTGTCTCATCACGCCCTTATAAGACACTCATCCAAACTTTACTGAGACTCATGATTTAGCAGAGCTGGCTTGGCCCAGAAATGCATTCAGTCATCGGCAGGTCACCTTTGAATGAGCTTCAAAGGATTCGAAAGCGTAGAAATGTAGGCCTTGTGTGGCGCGCTGCTACCTCACCAGCTTGCGTGTTGTCAGAGTTACCTCCTAATTGAGAAAACATAATCTTGTTTTCTCTTTCTGCGAGGGGGAAAACCACTTTCCCTCCTCGCTGCAGAGCTCAGGCCCTCTGGGATGAGTGAAAGTGGCTTCCAAGCAAAGATGTGAGGTGAGGAGAGAAGGTGTAGAGAATCAAATTCCAGGCTAGCTCAGGGTAAATATCTGTCTGCTCCCTGCTGAAAACAAGTCTTGTTTTCTCGCTTCACAGGGTCGAATGCCCTGCCCAGACCTTTGGACCACCTGCAGCCCTGTTGATGACAGATTCACTCCTCATAGTGGACCATCTCAGCCTTCAGTGTCGGAGAGAGACTAATCCTCCCGCTTCTGTCCTCTAAGTACAATAGCCCTGTCACTCGTTCACTCATTCAGCATACCTTCAGCCGCCCTGCCTGTGTGTCAGTACCAAGTACACCAACAGGTTCCCACGGCGCTCTATTCATAGCTTTCCACAGGAATCTCTGACCTGTTCTGGCCTGTCTCATGAAACCTGCTCCTCATAATGAAGGCCATTGATCCTTTTCTCATTTCACATTCACCTTGACATCTCTGTTACGGCCCACGGAGCGTCTCCTTTTAATCCAGGGGAGATTCTTTCTGTTTATTTGGTTACCTGATATTTTATTGGATCTACAGCACATTGTTGGAATGATACGGGCTCAGAAATGTCAAGGATGGGGTGTACTGTCAAGCACCAGGAGGTGCAGGGAGATGAGTCTAGACATGCAAGCGTCAGTGGCCTGGAAGTTGCTCTATCTGAGTGTGTGTGTGTGTGTGTGTCTGTGTTCCTAATCTGAAGTCCTAGTAAATGATTTTCCAGGGTCAGCTGCTTTCCTCTGCCCTTACAAGCTGAGGAGATTACAGCCAGTGCTCTCATTGATGATTTATCTACAGAATTAAAATTCTGTGATCCAACTTCTGGCAGGACCGAGTAAGTCTTGTCCTTCATGTGCAAGAGCTCTTCCAAGAGTAATCAATATCATGAAAGCGTTCCTGCATGAAATATAGATCCAAGTAGTTTTTTAAAACTGACATGAAGATCCTGTTGGACTAGTTTCCCTGGTGAACTCTGCACATGTAAGTGTGAATCATGATCCCCAGTCCTCCTTGACCCCCTTATAGATCTCAACACCAGCTGAACTGATAGGGGGCTGTGGGTTATCAGGAGTAAATACAAGCTTGAAGCCCTGCAGAGGCTGTGACTCTGATTTAAACCCGGCAGCCCTGACCCCAGCCTTGCATCTTAACCTGGCTAAGCCCATGCAGATGCACTGCTATGGGAACCAATAATAAGAAGAGGGACAAATAGAGGGGAAATAATTCACAAGATATGGACATGAAACGCCTCCTCAACCCTTCATAAAGCTGCTTTGACAACAGCTTTACGCTTATCTAAATGTTCTCTTTGGTCTCTTTCTGCATGAACACACCTTACAGCATGAAACAAAGAGGGCTGACAGCTCAGAAGACAATGGAGCAAGGCTGCCGAGGTAAGTGCTTTTCTGCACATTATTCTGACAGCCAACATGTGACAGGCAGTGTGACGCAGTGATAGATGAGCCTCTTCATGTAGCTCACTGTGGACATGAAGAGAAGCTCGCCTATTCTAATACATCCCCATTGATCTAAGCTCCGCTTTATTAATCATGCACTTAACACAGAAGTCTGTGGAGCTTTCATCCTTTCTTCTGCTACCTCATGTCCTCACTTTTATCATTACAGGAACTGTAGCGCTCTTTGTTTCTGCAGAACAAGACATTACTCGCTCTATAGTGGGGCCTTTTGATAGTCAGCACAAATGTAAAGTCTGTCACTTACAGACAGATGTGTGCACTGAAGCCATGCAAGGGCCTGGGAATACATATTCATGGACTTCACAGCTTAACTTTGACACCATGTACAGTAATAGCACTGCCATTAAGTGGAGACTGGGTGTTTGCCTTGGACTATACTGCCCCCCGGAGTTGTTAAAAAGAATGGCATCAATTGTGACCTCTGTAACAGTGGTTTTCAACTGGTGGGTCGTGGACCATTCTGGATGGGTCGCAAACAGCTGGTCAAAAAAGTAAATATTGAATGCACATCTGATGTTTGACATGTCTTTTATTTTGAAAAATAGCTTATTTTATGTCGTGGTCCTCTGTGTCTTATTAATGAGGCCTGAATGCAGTAAAAACAGTTTTCTTTTTCTTTTTTGGTCTTCATTTGGTGCAATTTGATATTTTCTGCATGTGCAACTTTAGTTGTTGTCCTCGGTTTATGTGCTGTGATGCACTTTACTGAATAAAATGGGTGTTTTTATGTTAAACATTTGAGTCTTTAAAGGGTTTTTTTTTTATAAAAAATAAATTTGCTTGGTTTGAATTTTATAAAAGTGGGTCACAAATTAAGGACCATGGGAAAATGTGGGTCCCAGAGTGAGACCAGTACAGTTGAGAACCACTGCTCTATAAGATCACTGACCTAAGGTTTAAAAGAAAAAAAAAATACCACAGATGAAATGTGTTGATTTTTATTCAAAAGTTACTGTCTCCAGACAAGTACAAATCAGAAAACAGAGTGACTGAAAGAGGATGGGATAATAGACAACAACTTAGAGTGTAGGCAAGAGTGCAGAAAAAAAAAAAAACACAGAAATGGCCAAAAGGAAGGAAAAAAAGTAAATTTTGTATATATACACATGATCTAATAAGAATTTATACCAATGTAGTGGTAAGTAACAAACAATAAACAGTACTTTTTCCTTAAAAGAATTTTCTTTTTACTTACATAAAATAATTAGGCAAAACACATATAGGCTGTTCATCTACTTAATCACATTACATCTGACCACCTCATGTTTCATGTTCTAAAGAAGCCAATTATCCACCTTTAAACATGACTGATCCTCTGACATGGAAGATTACTGTGAGAGAGAAGGTGACTTTCACAAGCATGTTTAAGGCTTAAGCATGGAATGACTACAAAATAACAACCTCAGTAGACAAAACATTTCATTAAAACTTGTGTGTGACAAATATATGTCAAAATCTAAGCTTTGTCTAGCTGCCACAGCGCTGCTGAATAACTCATCTTCAGTATTGTCTGAATGACTGACTACCTTTCATGTTTTTACATTTGAAATCTTTAAGTGTTTTGTGACAGGACTTTTCTGCTGAGAAAACCTTAAAGCTGAATTTTCACAAGTCTTTTCATTAGTTTTATCCAAACTAATTTACATGTAGGAAAAAAGGTAGAAACCCGAAGACATTATCAAGACAAAAAGAAAAAAAAGAACATAAAAATACAAATTTAAAAATCTTCCTTGATGCATGGCTTCACATGCTTTCATTTTTTTTTTTGTTTTACTTACACATTTCTCAAACTTTGTGACTGAAGGTTGAAAAGTTGAAAATAAGAAAACAAAAAGCACATATATAAAATCAGCACCGATTCATATATAACTTTTATTTAAAATGTAGAGATACCCATTTCAACATTATGCTGCTGGATTTTAAGAGAAAAAGATGTGTAATTATTAACCAAGCCGCTTGCTGCCAGAGCCCACACAGTGGCTCCACTGGGGTAAAAATCTGCTCTGGGTTTTTTGGAGGGGGGCACATTTCCCTACTGAGATGGCGGTTAAGGAGCTGTCCAAATCTTGGGATAAGCTTTGGGACTTACTGCTTTAACAGTGTGGAGCATCAAGTGGAGTCTATATCTTCACAGCATAAAGGGATCATGACTGATTCTACGTGACATCTCGCCATCTTAACCACCAGTGGTTTTCAGGGCCTTCAATTTGGCCCGATAACAGGGATTAAAAACTTATGAGATAGAGGGAGAGAGAGAGAGAGAGAGAGAGAGAGAGAGAAAAAAGAAAGAGCACAGAAACATAAAGACCTCCATCCACTTGGCTAACACAGTACAAGCAAGCTACTACAGTCTGTTTATAAATTACTACTTCACACCTGGTAACTTACTACAATTGTAAAAAGGGTTAGACATAAACAAAAAAAGGTTCTTAAGTTAAACACACCAATTCATCCCCGTTTAAAAAATAAGGAAAAAAGAGGAAAAAAAAAAAAAAAAAAAAAAAGAAGCTATTATGGATTTTTCTTCAGACATGTCTCATCTCTAATAGGTTTGGAAGTGGCCTGTTACACTATTTCAGAACAGGAAGAGCTTACCCAAGATTATAAAAGTAAATATTTGAAACAAAGTCCTCTCTGAGCAAGCAACACTGAGTGTGGGTTGTCGTTGGTCCACGTGGAGTACAAGCCAGACTTTTTTTTTTTTGTTTTGTTTTTCTTACAGAAAACACTTCTGTTTCCGCATCTAAAATTCTCTTTAAATACAAAGCGCCTCCTCTGTTACCCCAGCGTCAAAGCCATCTGGATATTAGCTTAAAACATCGACACCCCGAGGACCTGCAAAGAAAAACAAACACCAGCATCAATAACCAGTTTTCAATGTTCAGAATGAAAGCAATTCACAGGTGACCATATGACGAGGAAACTCCTGCATTTGATGATGAACAGTCAGGAAATGTACAGAAAAATATGATCAGAGTTTAATGGACAGTAATTTCTCGACAACATAATAAGAGCTGTCAGCAAAGTTAATAGCGAAAAGATTGTGGTCAGGTATTGATGTGATTTATCTTAAATTAAATGCTATTTTGTCAGCGCGGCGATGTGGTCACCTTCCCGTTTCCTGTCACTGCACACAGAAGTAAATTAACCGAGCGCTCAGTTGAAGAGCAAAATAAGAGTGAAAAATAGGCGTTGTGTCAAAAAGAATGAACGTTTCATTAAGGTACTTTGAGTTTGAGCTTTCACTTCTGAGTTCAGGTTACAAGTTCAGCTAATCACACTGATGTCAGCAGGCAACTGCATCCCCACAGCTAAGAGAGCACTTTTTGGAGTGAGTGATAGTGCTTTGTATTGATAAAATTGGCATTAAATGTTTTGAAATGCAAAATTATGAATGTTTTTGAACTTTACTTTTTGATTAGTTGACTGACTGTGTGCTATTAAAAGTAGAGCCTGATGCTGTTTTAGCTGAACTGTATGATGCCTTTTTGTCCGAGTGTCTCGATTCACACAACCCCTACTTTTTTTATTTTTACTTTTTCTTTTATCCAACCGCACTGACACATTTGACTATCTGCTGTTTTCAATGAAATCTCTTTTACATCCACATCAATACTAACAGGGTGTTTTCAGAGCGGATGCGAGGATCTGAGGCAGAATCGTTCAGAGCAGAAGTGCAACGAGTCGAGTCAAGTGGTAAAAGCTGAACCGCCAAGTGTTCTGAGTCTTGTGTCTTTCCTCCGGAAGAAGCCTAATAAAACACGACACTGAGTCTTTGAAGAATAATCTGTGTTCTGGGGTACTATTTTTCGTGACAAAGAAATTATTTAAAGTTGACATAAAACACCCTATCTCTCTCTGTGATCTATTCTGAGGTAGTGTCTGAGGAACCCTGCGTTTCAAAGCTCGGTGGAAGAAGAAATCCTCCTGGGTTAGAGTTGGGACATGCTGAAACAAGAGTTTTTGGTGAGCAAACATTTTTGGTTTGGCGAGTTTACACAGGCAAAAACCGCACTTTTGCAATCATACAGACATGTTGCATTTGGCCCTTACCCACGCAGGCTGGTCAGCTGAACCCGTCCAAATGTTTTATGCTCCAAATACAATACGCTCGCTATTGGCCAGTGTAATATGACTGATCACAGGCCATCTCCTCTTGATTTACGTCCACCGAGCTGTACTAATTTTAGCACTACGACGTTTGCTCTGAGGAGATCCTAAGTTGTGTCGGCTTAAATCGTGGCTCCTCCAGCTGGCCCTCATACAAACACAGCTACAGTCTTTGTTTGTTGCGCTACAAGAATACATAAAACAAATCTAAGTGAGTGAGTGGAGTCGATTTCTTACCGATTCATCCATGATAGAAGCAGGGTCAAAGTAGTCTGGCTTGAGCTCAGACCTCTCCCGGCGATTCTTAGAGGGTGGCTGAAAGAGAGAAGGCACGTGATGTGAGAACCAACTTTACAAACATTAACAACGGGAAAAACAGTCAACTAAAGTGTGATCTGAAGATATTATTCAATGATATGGGAAAAGTTAGATTCCAGAATTCCTGCTTCTACCAGAGCTCAATTTAGAGAGGAATACTGAGGAAACAAATGCAGAGAAACTAGGTCAGCTGTTCTGTATTTTGGTTTATTCAACATGACATGTGGAGCCTTTTTCATGGAGCGCAGTACACGAGCAGGAATCCAAAATAGACATTTGTCTTTGATAAAATTTTGTTCTGCCTTTCACTCAGGATACATGGTTCCTTGGCGCTGGCCTACATGCTCACGTCAATTAGTCATGTTGCCTGATGCTGTACCAAAACTTGCAACGTACTGTCAACAATACACTTCTCATCATTAAAAAAACACTTATTCTAAATATATTATTTCCCATTACCAATACTTGTTTTGATAGTTTTCTTGAGTTTGGAGTTAATATAATAACGCTCACAGGCTGCTTTATGTTCCATGTAAAACAAATACTTTACTCTTCATGCAGGCAGAGCGCATACATGCTAAACAGCTGCCAATATATAATCCAATCACTCTGCTCTTAGTCAGAGAAAGTTAATTTGGTTTGTTAGGATTGAACAAAAAACCAAAGTGAAAGGACACAAACTGCCTCTGGAGCTAAAACTTTTAAGACTATCAAGGCATCCAGGCAAAAGGAAACAATGGAAGTATTTTTCCAGAAAGGTCTGGGTGCTGTCTTTGATGACATTGACAAGAACTGACTTAGTCATATTTAAATTAATTAGCCAAAGAAATGATGACGTAGTAAAACAAAAAAACAAAAAAATCACATAAATGTGTTTTCACTAATACTAAATCCCCACCATGATAGTTTTTAAGATAGTAAAGACCAGGTAAGTCACTTGTAGCCTCAGATTTTATAAAGCCGTGTTCCTAAATAACAGAGCTGAATGAGATTTTTGGATGCGACAGGTCTTAAAATGTTTTCTAAGTCTCTTTTTTTCCAGAGTCAGCTCAGATTTCAGACAACTGTTTCTTGCCACATGGTGTTAACGTCATTACAGAGACTGAAATAATCAAGCTCACGATGAGTGTGAGGATGGAGCATCTGGCTCTACTGTCCAAACACCAGATGCTGCATCTCCAGTAACAACAGTAACTGTTGTTTGTTTTTTTTGTACTATGCATGTGAAAAATGTAGAAATGCCTTTGAGCTGATCAAACCTATCTACAGGGTCTCTGCAGGTTTCAACAGGTCAAATTTTAGACTTTTTTAGGCCGCAATGAATACAATTGAAGACCCATTTTAGATCCATACTGGCCAAAATGTACAAAAAGACATGAAAGGAAATCTGAACATTTGACTTTACTTTAAATCAATCTTTATCCGTACATTATTTATTTGTAAGTAAAATTCACACATTTTTAAGACCTTCCAAAATTGTATTTAAGACATTTTATGAGATTTCAAGAGAATTTTAGACGTTTCAAGGTCTTAAATTCAAATTTTCGGATTTTAGACGTTTAAAGACTTTTCAAGACCCCCGCAGATACCCTTATCTATGAAATAGTCTCAGGATGGCAGAATGCTGACACTGAGAGACAAATACGAAGACATCATTGTACTTCTATGTGTGTTTATACTGAATGCAAGACTCCCTTTGAAAATTCTAAATATTCATTAACACTTCATTCAAGTCCAGGTGGTTCCTACCAGATCAATGTCCATGGTGTCAAAGTCCATGCCTTCATTCAGGTCATCCATACGACCCTCAGATGACATCATCACATCCTCCACAATCGGCTCTTCGTCCTCCTCCATCAGCCCAGTGCCACGACGACTGAGAAAATAAAATAAAAGATAAATAAAGTTACACGGTAGGCACAAAAGTCCTCTGATGATCTCCACTGAACCTTCTTGTGGGTGTCCTTACATAGCATGCTGCAGATTGGTCCTGAGCTTGGCGTAGTTCATGGCTCTTTCCTGCTGCTGGCGGGCCTCTTCTTGCTGTCTCTGAGCGAGCATCCACGTCACCTGGGAACTGAAACCACAAGAGAGCATCTATTAGTGTTACAGAATCACAATCATATATGCTGCAGCTCAACGTAAGCTAGCCAGGGAGAAGTCACGCTGGGCTCAACACTTGGCAGACTGTTATACTAAATTATCTGCTACTGTTTACTCTCTCTAATTAATAGCATGTAAACGGAAAATCAAATTAAAGCCCTTCCTAATGTGTCTTGGCTCGGAGTCCATATTTCTCTCTCTATTCTTATATTCCTCTGATCCTATACTTGGAGAATACATGATCCACTGATCTTAATGACTGTCTGGACACAAGCCCAAACATATCCATAAAATCCTGCATTAGAATATGAGGAATTAACAGATTATAAATGAAAAGAAAATGGCCGTCGGAGCCTTTCTGAAAGGTTGAAGCAATTTAGCAGGAGAGGAAGATAAAAGCGGAGAACCTCTGGGGACTAACAGTAAAGAATATTCCCTCAAAACAACATGTATATTAGTGTTAACTTTGATAGTACAAACCCTGGAGCTGGAATATTGATTGAAATAAACATATTCATTATTCTCTCCTGAGGGAACTTATTATGGCATTCATAAAAGAAAGGCAAGCGCTTACACTGATGACTCAACACTGGACTGATTTCAACTGCTATACACTTCAAGTGGTGGGAGAGAAACAAAAACTGAAATATTGTGACATTCTTTGAATAAAACACAGTTCAGTTAACAGGCACTGTATCAGAGGGAGTTATGTATATTAAGTTGTTGAAGTAGCGTTTATTCTAAGCTTTGGAAATATACCTCATATGTACGAAAGTGTGACTCCTTCTTAAGTCTTATACGTCAAACTGACTGCACTGTTACACCTCAGGAATGCAAGAGTCGAGCATGCATACTTGTAATCCATGGGTGTCTGGTGGTGCTGAGGCGTCTGTTGATGGTGCTGCGGGTGTTGGTGGGGCTGCTGCTGGTCGTGAGGGAGGGGGTACACCCCCATGAAGCTGTCGTCACGGCCCCTCTTAGGGTCTCGCATGGCAGTGGAGGTGAGGTGGGGGGTTGGTATCATGACTGGGGTCTGCATGCTCTGCTGCCACACCTCGCTGCTGCTGCTCTCCTCTGCAGAGACAGGGCCGAAGTGTTAGAAAACCAAGCGACAAATGTGTACATTTTTTTTGTTGTTAATCTGGTCATTAAGAGCCAAACATTCTGCTTTTTACAGTGCTCTGAGATTTCCTCCAAAGTCCCTAAACTGTGATCAAAACTGTCTGCAACACTTAGGTTTACTGTAACCGAGTGCTCTCAGGGCCTTCAAATATTTGCCAAGATTTACAAATTCTTTCACTTTTAAAAACCTCCAGAGATATAACAGGAGGTTGTTGAGGAGTTGTGGAAAAAGGACCGAGTGGAAATGGATGACCATCTACAGTACTGAGAGGTCTTCCCTTTCTAGTATCGATCTTATATGGATACAAATATAAATGACGCTGTGCGACTGTAAGGAGCCGTGTGACTCTCTCCTCCCATCTGCTGTTTAATCTCCTCACCCATCAGCTTGGCTGGCTGAGCCAGGCTGTTATGAACGCATTTGGGTTAATCTGGGCTCCAACTCTGCTTTTGTAACATCATGGCTGTGCTGAGTATAATGTATGTAATTCTCATGAAGACCCACTTTCAGTGTTTATGAACTGGAAGGTGTTTAAGACTTGGAGGTTTGAAGCTGCCTGTACTGAAGATTTTAGTCAAGTTCCTCCTCTCTCCTTAAAAAATAGCTATTGGCTCCCTAATTAAACCTCATTAACTATTCTGTTGATTTCCCAGAGTGGATACCTTCTGGTAGCTTCCTCTTAGCTGCTGAAGTTCCAGCTGTAACAGCAGGAGGCTTGGTCTTCTTGGAGCGGATCGAGGAGCCTCTGCTGGAGTAGCCACTCATCACAGACATGGTGTCGTCATCGCCACCCGCCTGCAGGGAATTCCTGTAGGAGATGAGGGGAAGCCAGCAGTCCTCTCGCTGCAGTGCCATCTGGAATGTCATGAAGCGCTCCAGGTACATGTGGCTGGGGAGAAGCGGGAGGTGACACAGAAACGATGAACAGACTCATGCATTAATGCATACGCAGGAAAAACCATACATACAAAACCAGGTGCACATTCCAACTGTGGGCCTCACATTCACCACTCGTGCCCCAGAAACACCAGTTGCACCAGTTGTCACAAACACCTGTTACACTGGGACACCGAAGCCTCCCACCTGTCAGCTCAGCAGAAAAACTTACACAGTCCTCTTGTCTTGTCTCATAAGCTTGGAGGAGAACTCGCTGAGGATGTCCAAGAAAGCCAGGTTGAGGGGGGGGCCTCCTTCTCCCTGGGGACTTGGCTCCTTAAATGCAAACTCAATACCATCCCTAAGAGGTGCAGAGAGACGGAGAGGAGGGAAAAAAAGAGGCAGAGAAAGATTTTACTGAATGTGTTGATGTAAAATGTGGACAAAACAGTTCAGAGAGGGCACGTATGAACCAGAAACACTAATCTCATGGTTCCGGTTTCGTGTCCTGATTTCAACGCCTGCCTTCACATAAGGTGAGATGTTTAGCCACTTCTAAACTGCCTAACTTTCAAGACGGGCAAAGAACTATCCCAACTCTCAAAGTGAACTTCCAATCTTCCTAAATCCAAAGGTACTGACAAGAACAATCAAAAACCCTTCACACAAAGACACTGATGAAAAGCGGGATGTGGATTAAAATATTAAGTAGCCAGATTGTCTGTCTCAAAGAATTTTCCACCCCTAGAGCGAGGTGGGTATTTTCATATCAGTTATTCTTATTGACTTTTTCCCCCTATATAAAGTATCAGATTGGGGAACTCTAAACCTCTAAAGTGATTTCAGTGCTTTGAAGCACTGTGCCATAGCCTGACTCTGTGTGAAGCCACTGTGCTTTGAAAGTCTGGACTATTTTCACAGAAGGTTTAAACAAAGGAAAAAAAACTTGCTGCATACTCCACATATCAATCACATACTGTATGCACATCATACACAAGTGGTGGTAGTGGTCATGCTAACTAACAAACATGCATACATTAGCTTTCTATCAAGAAGACAATCTAAAGCTTCTGTAAGAGACTTTCTGTTTACCCTAAAAATTCAGTGTCCTTCATCTTTGGAAATGTTTACAATCACTTATTGATTACTCTGTTTAAGAATGACATTTAGGCAAAAATTCATTTGAATGGAAAAATCTATTTTCCAAAGCTAACGTGATGAATAACTAAAGAGGTGAAGCATTGCTGAAGAACACAGAGGTGTACAAACTGTCTGACACCATGGATATAAAGAACAGGCCCATGAAAACAACCTCCACACGCATGTGTAGCGTGGATCAAACTGTTTAATCTGGAGTGGTTCTAACAACAGATCAGAACAGAGAGATATTTCAGACTAAGTGCCCAATTTCCTGCCCACTTGTTTTTTTTTCAGAGCCTGGTCACATTCAGTCTGACTGCAAAAGACAAAATACAAAACACAAACACACACACTCAGACGGCACTGATGTTGCTGGCAGGCAGAGATATTTGTCTGCCAGCTTTGTCCATCTGAGAAATCTCTCTGCATTAACTATCCAAAAGATGGTTTCATGTCCTTCAAAATGTTCTTGAACTTTCCGTTTGTGTCCGTTAGTGGTGGCTGTTGTGGTTTCGGCTGAAAAGACTGCTGTCAATCACGTCTTTAACTGCTGTCTAGGACATTAAAGGCCTTTTTGGGCAGCGGTAACAAGTCTTTAAGGTTGCTACATAGAAAATATCTCACAGCTGATGGACTTGTCTTCTCTTGTAGGTGACAGACAGTACAGCATTCAGTTGAGTATTACGTATAAAACATAACAAAAACTCCTCGCCAGAGCTTTGACAATCCACAGGAGGAAAACAGCAAGTGTGACTAGAGTGTACTTGTTTGAAAGCAACATGATGCATGGTTGAAAAAGGTCAAGAATAGAATCAAACCATCTTTGTTTGAACTGTGTGAAGTAGTTTCTCATGTCTCTCTACAGTACCTTTACTCCATGGGAATAGAAAAGTGAAACAAATGATTCGTTGAGCCTCTCTTAAATCCGGGGGGCAAGAGGAAACACAGTACTCAAAGAGTAATTTGTCCAACATGACAGTTCCCACATGCGCGGCCAAAAATGAAAGAGGAGCAGTGCGATGTAACCAGAGACGCATGAACACTTACTTATGAAGCATGGCGATGGCATCTCTGGTCTTAACTTGGTCGAGGCCGAAGGTTAGAGAAAAACGACGCGCCAACTCTTTGATTCCGCAGAACGAAGAGGAAGAGCGGTCAAACCCGTGGCCCAGGTCAGACAGCATTTCATTGAAAAGCTAGCAGAAAGACACGAGGGGAACAATAAGTCAATAATCTATTAGACCCCGAGACAAATCGAGAGAATGAACGTGTGAAATCTTCAAAAAGTGAGCACACCGACCTGCTGCAGACTGAGGATGAGCGTCTTGGCACATTGAATCTTATCGATTTGCCGAGTCTTACTCATAGTCTCCTTGATGATGTCACCGTAATCGTTGTAATACTGTAAACAAAACAAAAACAGAAATGCATGAAGGATTATCTGTGTAATTTTATTTCTAGATCAAAGCTGTTCAGATTTACAAGTTCCTGCAATAAAAACATTGCTCCTATATCATGCGAGAAGGAAGATGTGTAGCATCTCATGTGTCAGGCTCCAACTTGAACTCACCCTCATGTACTGTTTAAAGATGTCAGCTCCTGTCTTCATTTCTACCACACAGTAGATGATCAGTTTACAATAGGCAGCGAGGAGGTTTCGTCTCTTGTGCAGAGCTTCAATCTTCACTGCCTCATCGTCCTGCTGCCCATCTAAGATAAGACAGAGAAGATAGGAGCACTGGTGTTACCCCTTTATTTCTTAGAGAAGAAGGTAAACGGGCCTCTGGATCCATATCTGCATTTGTACCTGTGCTATTTGTGTCATCATCCTGGTCTATGAAGACATGATTCAGGATAAAGGAGAGTAGTTCCGACTGTAGCGAGTCCTCTGGAGAATAGACGAGGGGCTCCAGGTGCTCTCTGCCTCCGGACACCATCTGGTGGCTGAAGATGAGCAGGAGGTCACACAGGATGGTGAAGGCCTATGGGAGGAAAAGGTGAAAAAAAAAAGAGGGGTACAAAAAGTTAACTTTCAAGACTTTCAATCCTTGTGGATTCGGTTCAAGACCTTGAAATAAAACTTTTGAAATCAGATGTGAGGCAGAGCAAGCTTCTCAAAATCTTTTCCAAAACCCTTTTGTGATAGAAATAAGCGAGTATGCAAGAGAGCCACTCGTTCAAGCGGTTCAACCCATCTCACTCGCACCTTGCAGATGCACTCAACAGAAGCCTTGACACCTCTTAGTAGCTAAAGGGTTGAGTATATGTCTTATCTTTTAGGACAGGATAAGTGAAAATCCTAGCCTTAAACAAACAGCCTCATGATGCACTTCACATTACCACACAGAGGACACAACATTATACATGTTACGATACAATCTGGATCATCACACATATCAAAACACTGATTTTGCTCCTGTCTTCCTTTCAAATAGACTTTATCTACAACTACAACTCAGCCAAAAGATGGAGTTTTCTTGTGTCTGCGTGTCACCTGTTCTTTGACGGCGGTGTTGACGTTGGTGAGGTAGCGCTGACACATCATACAGAATGCCCTCATCTGCTTCCTCAGGGTCACCAGGTCGTCCTGATTCAACAAGTGAGCAGAATTTGTAACACCGAGCGTACGACAGTCTAATTCTCTAAGGTATTTCAGAACAGGGACAATAATATTCGAAGAAATCTCACCTTCCTGGAGCTGCCCTCAGACGATTTGGCCAGGTGCCATAAGATCACATAGTGGGTACACTGTAGAGAGTGGATGACTATCTGCTCAGGAGAAATAAATCACATGGTGGTCAATATCATTGATTTTAAATCTGAAATTGAAGACACATCAAACTGAAGTGGGTGCATGTGTGTTTGTTGACCTGCTCAGGCATGTCGCCGTTCTCTATGCCAGTGTTAAGAAGCTTGAAGTTGCTGGTGAAGAGGTCCCACCCTGAAAGGTCATGGGCACTGCAACAGATGAGAGAGGCTCAGTCAGTTTCAGACACTTGCACTGTGACATGAATTATTGTTTAGAGCTCTGTACGGGGTGCATGATGTGTCTAAGGGAATAGGAACTCCAGAGAGCGAGGGTTTCATACTTGTGAAATGCTGTAATCCTTTTTAGAGTTGACAAAACCTGATAAGCATCATCTTCATCTGCTTCTTCACCCTGAAAAAAACAAAATAATGTTACAGCTTATGGATGAAGCTCTTTAAGAAAATTCTGAACATTCTCAGATTAGATTTTATTTACAATGACTGATGAACACTTTCACACTCTCAATCTGTATCAAAGAACAAGATCCCTTAAACAGTATGATCTTATTATGCACGAGAACTATTGCTACCCTTAATAGACGACTTCTTGGAAATGGCACCGATTTTATGTAACTTAAAAATGACTGTATGACAACACTTAACACATCAGAAGTAAAGGCAAACAAAGTTAAATATCTGGTGGTAAGGGGAAGCAGACTCACTTTCCCAAAAAGACCATAAGAGAAATCATGCATGTCCAGGGCCGCTATTGTTTCTGTGTCATGTGCATCCCTCTTACCTCTTGTAGAAAGTCTTCTAGTAGCCTGTTGAACTTGTCCACCAGCTCATCCAGTAGCTGGGAGCGGGCGATGTCCACTCTGTTAAAGATTGTGAACTCCTCATTGCAGAGGGCATGGTAAGTCTTGGAGCAGGCCTCCAGGACTTCAGTGTCTGTGTGCTTCTCCACAATTTCCCTGATCTGACGCAGCAGAGATTCCAGGTGCTGGTTTACAGGGACAGAATGGGGATAAAGGTCAATGAGGACAATTTCTCAAGTCACAATTTGTACTAATATATCATGTAGTTTGCTACATTTTACAATCAGCAGGTATGACCAAATCTGTATCTCACCTTTTCCAGACGCCCTGTGGTATAAATCTCCAAGTCGAAGAACTGAGGCAACTGCAACAAGTTAGTCACCTTCTCTGCATCCACAGCATACTGCAAAACAAACATTCAACTTTAGAATACATTTCCAATTGAAGAGCTCGCATCATTTACAGTCTTTTAAAAAGGAACCCAGGGTAGAGGGAGAAAATAGTTGTTGCAAACCTTGGCCAGTAGAGGGGGCAAAGCCACAGCAAACAGCTCTGTCATTCTGGTTCTATCATCCAGTTGGGTCTTCTTCTCTTTCGCTGTCATCACCTGATCAGGGATGACACAAGTGGGATGCTTATTCTCACTTTCACTTTGCAAATGCATGCAAACAATAAAACACATTTAACTATTGGAAAACAACAGACCAGGGGGTGAAAATCTTGAACTTGAACAGTGAAGAACAGTGAAGAACAAGCAAAATGTCTTAAACAAGCAAGAACAAGCAAAATGTCTTAAGGTGTTAGAGCAGCTCATGACAAAGTTTGTTCATAATTTCTAAAACTTTGGAGCAGCTTTGACATAGTGTGATACATGTGATGCCTCTAAAAATCAGCCATGTAATAAGAGCAACAAATACAAACCCCTTCATGCCTCAAAACCTCTTTGTGTGACTGCTGTGTTTTAGGCAAATGATGAGGAAATGTTCCAAAACAGCCAAAACCTGCGCCCTTTACAACGCTTGATCATGGTGTTTAAGGAAGACATTAACTGCCTAAGTAAGCTGTTAGGAGTTTTTAAATCTTTGGGACTCAGCTTACCCTGATGCCTCACTTACACTAAGTACTGAACCAGCTCTCATGACAACCTCCAAGACGTTCCAAGTGCGTATACAAAGAAAATAGCTGAGATTTTCACTATAAGAGGCGTTGAGGCCACTCTTACCCTCTTCCCTGTGCCTCTTCCAACAGGTGGGTGGCATTCAGCAGCCTGGCGTACAGTACACAGCATGATCTCGATCAAGGCTGTCTCTTGTCTGTCTGTAAGAGCTGAAAAAGAAAAAAACACCACGAAAATCAGCGTGATCTTTGCAACATCTGTGGACTGAACTTCATACCGGTAACCTGGGCCTGCAAATAAACCGGGACTGTACCTTCCTCTCCTGGCAAAGGGTCATCTAGCAGCAAGCTGATCATACACTCCCAGTCCTTCAGTAGCTCTGCACCACATTCCCAGAGGGAGTCCACCAGGTACGCTGCATGCTCATGGAGCTGAGAGATGAAACCAATTTCAAATATTTAGGGGTTCAGCTACTTATAAGTTGCACCAACGAACAATTTGAAGGTGATGACAGTAAATACGCTGACAACATACCTCACTCTCCAGGAAGAAGAAGACAGTGGTCTTGATGAGGTTGGCGTTGGGACTTTGTCTGCCTCTCCTCTTGGGGGCACCTTCTTCCTCAGGTTCCCGCTGGCTGAAAAGTCTTTAACAACATTTATCATTAGTTTGGTATCAAACTAACCAACTTCAACATAACCTCAACAAGCCCTTTACTGACACAGACAGACTTAAAAATTAAAACTAACCATATAAACTAGGTAATAATGAACAAATGAATTAGACTTTGATAGTGATCTGTTCTGGAGCAAGTCTGCAGTCCTTAACTCTGGATTTCAACTAAAGTTAAAACTATAGAAACCGTGAAGATGTAAATCTTGTCCACTTATCTACAACTCTAAGCCCTTGTTCTTTTGTCTTTTTTACCCAACTCCCCTTAATGACGCTGAGATCATTCCATATTTGTCTGTTCAAGGGTTTGTATGACTTGACACGTTTTCGTTTAACGTACTTCTTATAGAGGAACTCTCCGGCTGCAATGGCGACCGGTCTATGCGCTGAGTAGACCAAGTGATAGACGCTCTCACAGTCCTCAGGAGTCAACACCTCATCCGTACTACTGTAGAGACAAACCAAAAGAATCAGTCAGCTCTGATTACCAAAAAGATAAAAATGCAGGAGACATACATGAACTACACGTAATTCACAAACAGTGGAGATAAAGGTTTGCCCCTGAAGTAAAGACTAAATCCTACTGGAGATAGAATTAAGAAGGTGTCGATCAAACAGCACTGAGGACAGAAGAGCCACTTACTTCAGGACTAGAGTGAGTAGTTTAATAGCTTGTACTGCAACATCGTACTCTTTGTCAAGGGTCATAGAGACAATACGGTCCTGTAAAAAGAGAGAGAATGATAACACACTTAATCACCCATTCATAAGGACTTCTTAGGTTATAAACTGAATTCTACAAAAATAAATAAGCTTTTGTGTCAAGAGAGCATCAGTCCAAACGTGGTCATTGCATGAGAAAGTTGAACATTCAAGCTGGTGATGTAGTGAGGAATATGTCCAGCAGGTGGTGCTGACCTTGAAGCGACTGGTGAAGAGTTCCAGTCTTGCGTTGAGTTCTCTGTTGTAGTAGAGACCCTGGAGAGCTGTCAGACACTTCAGACGTACTTCTCCTTGCTGGAATCACAAGAAAAAACTGTCATTTAACAAGAGTAGTTTTTCCTGGGCTTGAAATGCAAAGAACAGGAGCAGTCAGTAATCAGTTCGCCTGTGGGTTTTTATGTATAAGTTTGTCTTCTATGATTACAAATACAAAAAAACTTACATATTTACCTGCACATTATGTGTTTAGTTATCATTTACATCTGATACCATTATTTAAGTTACAGCAGATTTGAGAACTGTATTTTTTGTTCTGTTTTCTATGGCTGATATTGAGTCGTTAACTGTGTAGGTAAAAGCCACACTGCTGCAAGTGTTTTGACTCATTCGGATTAAACTTCAGATTAATCTGAAAGGTGCAGTGTATGACAACAATAATACAGACAGACATTTACAACACTAACAGGAGTGAGAAGATGAAGAAAACATGTTGCACTCTATTATTTGTTGCAGCCTTGAGGAGATACATGTCAACAGCAAGCTTCATGTGACCCACCTTATCATGCATTGTCCATCCCACATACTTCAGATAGCTGTCGTTGAGGAAGGCATCGCTGTAGAGTTTCATCCAGACTCCGATCTCTTCTATACAGATTGCCCTGATTTCTGCTATCGAATCACTGTGAAATTAACAGAGAAAATAAGCATTCGTGAAGTTTTCCCACAGCAGCCAGTTACCAAAAAAAGTGTGCTAACAATGGACTGATAATAAAAATGATGTACCGATATCGATGAACAAACACTCCTTTGAATATTGCATTCATCATGTTTTCAATCTCGTCCTGATTTTCTTGGAGCTGAAAGAAAGCAGAAAATGAAAATAATTTAATTTATCGTTTATCACGAACTACTCGAATGCTCCCGTGAGCATTGACCGGGATGCATTAGCATAACAAGACATGTGTGACCACCAACTGTGCCGTCATGCTGCTGTAGGACTGCAAAGTGAACTAACAGATGGATGCCCAGTGGGACCTGCTGTTACATAACCTAATAAACTGTCAATGCAAGCTGAATAACACTCAGTAATAAGTCAGTCACTGCAGGTCTAACACCCACAGAGGTGCTGCATGTCTAAAAATGGATAACATTTACTGTCAGATGCTACAGTGATTCATGATAATGTGGTCCGACACTTTGACTGATTTGCCTGACTTACAAGGTGGTCGGGTGAAAAAGCCTGTAGTGGCATACCTGACACAAATTGCATGTCAGGGAACCGAACCTTCAGTTTACAGCATATGAAAGATGACTTTAGCGATTTGATACTGGGTTCAATTATACCTTGTTGAATTATTGTTTAGCTTTGAACTGAACTGACAGAATGAAACGCTGATTGTTTACTACTCTCACAGGCTTCCTTTCCTCTGAAAACTAGAAATGGCTCTATGTACAGGGGAGAACAAAAACTAAGGCTCTTGACTGTATTGTTAGGAACACTCCAGTTCTAATAAGGGGACGTTACTTTCTACTTCCACGCCAGTGCCAGTAAAACACATTGTTGTCCTCAACGCATCATGGGCATTTAATAGAGGGCTAAGCAGACATTTGCCTGCAGCAGTTTGGAGCATGAAATATGAAAATATTAACAACATTCATATACCTTTGGACATAATTTGCAGGCCATCCTTGATCTGGTCAGATTTGAATATTTGGGACAAAGCGAAGGACATCAAAAGGCTAGAGGACTATCACAAATTGCCATGTGACCAATATTACCTCTTTGCGTTTCTGCAGGAGCAGCTCCAGCCTGTCGTTTGCCCTCTTGGCGACCATTTTATTCCTCTCTGCCTCGTACTGGCGCTGGGTGTTGTCCATGTTGATGCTCAGGTTAAGAGCTACATTCACCAGGGCTGTCATCAGCTTCATTGCTGCAAAGAATACAACAGATAACATAAGGCATGACAACAAAGCAAGGTAATGAAAATGTTTAATTTAATATCCTTTACTGCCACTTTGTGTTTATCTGCAGGGTCGAGGATATGCAACTTAAAGTAGCCCTGGCTGAATGCAACAGAGTGAGACTACTCTAAAAACTACATTAAATCAGTATCAGTATTCAGCGTTTTCTTTAAAGACAAGCTACTGTTTGCCAATCACAAAGAGAGATGTGGGACTTTGTTGTTCTCTTGCAGATGTCAAATTACTTAGACTCTGAATTTTAGCAACTTCATAGTGCAAAGTCAGCCTATTATACAAGGAACAATATCAAACCACTCTTAAAACCATTGCGCAACTATATTTGCCGGGTAATAAAAACGTGTTCTGTCGCACAACTCAAATGCACAGTTACAACTGTTATTGGAATTATCTGTAATGCTACTGACGACAGGTTGTGTGATGAGCATCTGAAGGTTGACCACAGGATCCACCTGAAGAAAGTTGCTTTTTCCACAAACAGTCCATTTCATGGATGCTTGTAATTTTAATCAGCAACTCATTTCATGTCTTTTTATTTCAACACTTCAAAAGTAGTAGTTGTTTTTTTTTCTTGGCTTAAAAGGTGTTCCTCACAATGACTTTTTGTAAAACAAAGATCCTCTGCAACAAACTCTCCACATAGGCCACTTTTTTTCCCCACACAACCCTCTCTGTAGAACAAAATGTCGTGTAGACAGCACATTTCAGCTTACCTGCCAGTGTAGAGGTGTGTCTGAAGGCTCGGACTTGTGAGTCCGATAAACCGGTGAGAAGGGAGATGACGGTGTCCATCATATACTCATCGTAGATGATACTGTATTGACACTGGCGCACCAGCACCGAAATGAATTCACAAAAGCTTGATTTGAATTTCTTCCACTGGGGTCCTGCTATGGTTAGAGGGTAGTCACCACTGTCCTACAGAAACCAAAGAGAGAAGAAAAATCAATGAATTCAACCACAGCTGAGGCGTCAGTCTGCAGATAATGATATCTTGTTAAGGTAGCAATATTCTCTGTGCTAGTCCACTGGCAATTTCAACTTCTTTTTGATGATTCTTGCAATAACATTACGCTTGCATGGCTTATGATGAATATGATCATTGGTAAAGGAGAAGCTACCTCATCAAATTCCTCTGTCATTCGTCGAATGATCTCAGAATTCTGCATGTTTCGGAACATTTCTCCACTGACCACACCTGATGAACAGAAGGGTTAGTCAGAAGAAAATTTATGAAACAAGAAAGAAAAACAAGGTGAGAGGGAAAACAAACCAATAGGTGTCTAAATGGATCTGATGGATATAAAAACCTATTCAGCTTTTTTCTTACAAACTTAGTAAACCGCTGCACAGCACCATTTCATGGCAAATCGTATCTTTCCACACTTTAAGGAAGGAGCGGGTGTTGACTGTACTCCTTGTTCCATACAGTGATCCAACCATTATCCACCGTAAATTAAATAGTAAGCAACATGAAGCAAGCTAACAATCCCAAACATGTCATTGGATCATTTAAGAGACGTGCATACCTTTACATCCTGAGCACTGGATAAAGAAATTGATGAGATCTAGTAGCGCAACATCTCTGTCATGTTTGTAGGACTCAATCCAGTCATCAACAACAGACTGCAGGAAAAAAAATGGACAGACGAAGTTAAAAAGTTAAACTTTTGTCCATTATATTGCTCTTCTCTTTTTAAATCAGATTTAAAGGACAGATTTGTACAGTATCATTATCTCAAAGGTTTTGCCATACATACCTGCATTGCACTCCGCCCCATCTTCACCACCTCAAACAGCATCATGTTTTCCATGCCATTCTCCTGGTGGTGGCCATTTATACGGCCCGCCCCCTTCCCTCCTTTGCCTTTCTCCCCTGCTGCCTTCTTCCCCTTCTTCCCACCCTGGAACATAATCAAATTTCATGCTAAATAATCAAGGGTGAGAGTCACAACGGAGATTAAGCTGATTCTATAAACTTGTACAAAACATCTAGACCCAAAGTTATAAAAATCAGCTATTAACCCAGAAATTCCAACCATTCTGTGGACAAACAGGAATTTATTTACCTTTCCCTTAGTTGAGCCTGCAATCCTTCCATCAGGATCCTCAGAGAAGTCTGTGTCTGAAGAGAATCTAGTGTCTGTGTCGCTGAAGACACGAGCACATAATAGAATTGGTTACCCGATAGTTGGGAAATATGTGAGCTTTTCCTTGACAATGAAAGTAAACACATGCACTTACTGAGTATAGGAATACTCTGATGGTATTTCTGGTGCTGCTATCATTTCTGTAACATCTTCTGGACAACTTCAACTTGTGACTGGCTTGAGATCTTCAGAAAGTTTAAAACAGAAGATGTCGCATGTGACCTAAAAATTAAGAAACAGTGATAGAGAGCTCCACTTTCAGACATACTCAGCATTTTCACACTTATGAATGGTACATCATGCAAAAGCAAACATCAACCCTGCATGTGTCGGCAGAAATCACACACTCTAGTGAGGAAATGTTTCTTTGATGCCGTTCAGAAGAAAAAAAAAAACGGTTTCACATGGTAACAGGGGGCGGACCCATGCTGCTGTCACGCTCTGCTGTCTAACCATTGGCTCCCTCTCTTTCTCTGCTCCCCCTGATTTACGGACAACGTCACGCAGGAGCATTGAAGTGTCTTCCTCAATGGCCAAATATGGCACTGCCCTATCCGCCCCATATATATCTCGACCAATCAAACTGCAGTATCAACATCAACAAGATACTGCAGGCTACTGAGAAACTATGGCATGGTAGTGATGTGTAAATTAGTGGCATGAATATAAAAGAAGAGCAAGAGTGCCTTTGAAGACACATTTCGTGTTAAATCCACAAACTAGAAACGAATTAAAATTTTGGTTTTGGTTAGCAGTTGACTGAGGCAATACGAGAAAGAGTAACTAGTGAGTCTCGAAAAAGCAAACCTCAGCTCCACCCCTTATTTAACCCTCAGGGGGCAGTAGGTCGGCGCCCCGTACCATTGCACGCAATGGTGACTTACAAGTATTTCATTCTAACTATCGCAGCATTTTTAGCACGAACACACAGGCCTACAATATACTGCTTCAGCGTGGATGGGTAATAAGCCCAACCATACCATCCTCTCTCTGGTCATCCTGAATATAGTTAATCAAAGATCCCAAATCGGGATTTTACCATGCACACATTTTATGAATATGTAATGGTAGACGCACAAGCCCAAACATGTTCAATACACAGTCACTGTAGATCCGTAAATTACTGTTAATGTCTACTATTAAATTAACATTTGGTGAACTACATATTAATGGTAAATACCGAAGTGTTAATATCCACTATAGTGCTAGGAGTGCTGATCGTAAGGGAATACAGCATGGGTAGAAGGCGACATTCAAAGGGTGTAGACTAGAAAAGTGGCGCCAAATCTACCACAGTAACTCATAAACCTGTTTCCCAAGAGCCAGACGTGTTTATTTTAACTAACACGAAATCCTGTAGCCCTAGAGTGAACATTGCTGGGAGTAAACTATATTACAATCTACCGCCTCAGCTCTCTCCAACAACGCCGACACGGCTGCGCTCTCCACCGGCTCCTGTCAAAATTGACGCCGGTGCGCCGCTAGTGCTAACGGCACAAGCTAGCAACCGAGGAATTTGGCGTCTTTTCAACGGCGTCAGCTAGTTGAAATTGAACAAAGTAAGCGTGTGCGACTTAATGCAAACCGACAGCGTGCTATATGTAAGGAAAGGCAACGAGCCTGTTGTGCACACCACCATTACATTTTTGAGATCTTGCCAGTATTTAACGCTACTGTACCAGAACCATAATAACAAAACAACGCAAGCCTAGTGTATCAGCGCATGCTAACGCTGGCATCTAGACAATAACGCCAGTCTCTCGCGATCACGAGCATAATCACTCCTTGCTGCACTTATACTTAAGTCAATTCAAGTGCTCTCCCGAAGATGAATTAGTAATAAAATCTCGCATTTCTTCATTAATTCGAAGAGAATAACTCCCAGTAGTTAGCTGTGCTAACGGCTATTGCTAATGTTACCTAAAAAAACATCACGTCCTTTGCGTCCTCCATCTTGCCTCGGGAGTTCCAGTGCCGTATTGCATAAGCAACAAACACTTTGTTTACAAATATATAAAGTGCAACTAATTCACTTGGAAAAATTAACGCTCCTTGGGGCTGATAACTAAATATTGTGCGTAACTGTTTGTAAAAATTCAGATCGTTAGCTTGCTAACAACCGAAGTAGCCATGTACCGCGAGCTAGCGAAGCGACTTGGTTGAGGCAGACATCCGCGCTCCGAGCTCCGCCAGAGCTAGCAAAGCTAGCAAAATACAAATCAACTAACTTCCAGATAGCTCTCCGCCATTTTACAGCTAACTTACCTTGTTGTGAAATGTAGTCCCACCAGGTCCCCAACTTTTACTATTCTTGTGTAGTCTCCGTCTGAATGCCTAAACAATTGTGAAAAAAAGAGTTTAAAAGTCGCGGTCAGAGGCGGTTTCGGACGTTCTCTCACCCCGCTTGCTCCGTAGTTCGGTTTGTTGTTTCGACGACCTGGGAGGAGGAAATCCTGGTGCAGAGCTACCACCTAGCGGCCACAATGCCTGCATTAGATATACCATCAGGAGCTGACATCTAGTGGTAAATCAAAAGCACTACTGTAGCCTATATCTTCAGACTGATAATGTACTGGTGGAGCCGTCTCTTCTAAACTGCAGTTACACCCCATAGAAAGCAAATGAAGCGCAGCTATGAACGCTGGAGGCGGTGTCGTGGCTAAAATCTTATTTTACCTTAAGTAAAAAAGACTATTTGCTTTCTCCACAGTTTCATTTTTTAAAATTAAAACACCAAAAACCTCCTAGATTGAACCGACATTACATTTAATTAACCAGTCTTCTTTCTTTTATTATCTGTCCACCGTTCTTCTAGGCTATTTTATACCTTTAGACTGCTTTCACTCTTTTTCAGCTGCCATTACTTATATTTGCCAGTCTTTATAAACTCCAGCTAACTGAAGATTTGATAATCTCACAAGTCACTTGCAAAATAAAACACACCTCTGAATTCATACAAACCTCTTTAGGTGACTATCAGACTGGGTTGGTTTCCTCTTTGCCCCAAAGCCATTCGGTTAAAATGATCAAAATGCAAAACATTACAGTCTTATAAGAAAGCATTTCAGGTTCAACCTGTAAACATGGATTATCATTGATAAACCACACTGATTGATGGAATAATGAATTTATTTCACAACACACAGATTACCTTGAGGCCCTGAACCAAAGTGAATTTTGTCAGTAAAAAGTTCAATTCTACCTACCTTCCCATACAGAGCAGCAAATGGGATATATTACATTAGGTACACTGGAATATAATAAATGATGCGTATGTATGTGTAACTGACTGATTTAACATTCCAAACCAAAGAAAAAAAGACAGAACAATATAAACCTAGAAAAAGGCACTTCTGGAAAGACTGTTTTTAAATGGGAAATTTCCTTTCATACATATTTACAGGTGGCAATACTCTGATGGCCAAGATTATTAACATCTGCTATTTAAAACAAGCCATCTCATTATCAACAACTATCAAGGATCAAGTGATAACGAAAATAGTGTTTTCTTGTGACGTGCACTCATTCTTCCTGCCTTACTCAAATAAACAACATGGTCTTCATTTATATATATTACAGGCTATCTACATTAATTATTAAAATAAAATATTAAAATATTGAGAAAGCAGCATGGGCATGGTGTAAGTGTATGTGATTCCCTTAAGCAATGTAAGCCTTGATCTTCTGTGTTATGGCTCCGCAGCAGATTGGACACTTGGTGAGTGACTCCGAACACTCCTTGCAGGTGGCCAGATGACCACATGGTATGAGGACAATACAAATATCTCTGTCCATACAAATTTTGCACTGTTTCTCTCTCTGCAGCTTCCGCAGTTTCTCCAGTGGATCTTCATCTATAAAAAAATTGAAATATAGTAAATGTAGTTGCTCATAAATAGATCACCGTTCTCCATCATCAGTTTATCCAGTGAACACACTTCTAAAAAGTACCTTGCTCTTGTGATTTTGCTGAATTGTTTTCTTGTGTGTTGAAACAATCTTCCACAAGCTCCTCTAGGTTTGAGTATGCCACGCCTGTTCTATTGATTTTCTCCAAGATGGTCTTTTCCACCACACTTGGCTCCAGACCCATCAGCAGGGCCTTCTGAGCTACAGAGGAGTTCAGCACCTCTGAACACAAAAAGGAAACGTTAGTTTATGTAGCAGCTTGTTCTTTTCAGCAACCTTAGATGCAATTCTTTATTGTACACTGTAAGTATTGCAATGTTAATATCAAAACAATCATCCTCAAATTGACAATAAGTTATTTCTTACCAGTCTTATGTCCTGAAAATCCATTCTGATGACTTGAAGCCTGGAAAGAAAAAATATTTCATTTTCAAAGCAGTGTAAAACAACAATCTTTAAAGATCTATAATTGTCCAATCAAAACAGTCCTCTATTTGTCGACTGTTCAAAACGCATTCCCACACTAGAATTGAGTTATATCCTTCTGTAACTGTTCCATCAACCCACATTGTATCCATATTCATATTATAGCTGCCAAGAGATCCATACCCACATTTTTCTATGTGTGTGCGTGTCTGGTAGGGGGCAGCCTTAGTCTCGTTGGCAAAACACAATAAAATAAAAGAATTTAATCGATCCCCATAAGAAAATTAGTTGAAATGGACAACATGCTTGCCAAATGTGCCCCAAAGCACTCATGGCATGTAAGAATTACTTTGAGACAAAACTTTTCACTTAATCTCAACTTTTTGTAGCAATTCAGTAGACTACACCAAAAACCACATTTCCCTTTAGTTATTCCTAAACTATATTTTTCACCTAACCAATCTGTAATTAAAAAAAAAAAAAAAAAAGATTAAGTATTTGAAGACTTTGCTGTCATTTGTTATACAGAGTTCAGTTAGGAAAAGTGGCTTTGTTTTTAGTTCAGATGTAGCAATACTTTAGGTTACGTTCAAAAACTCAAGCTAACAGGCTCTCGCATTCTGCCATTTCAAGCTGAGATATATTCACCCCATCTTCAAACTGTCTGCAATATGAAGCACACATTGATGGTAGCTGCAGAGGCGTAAAGGGGGAAAGATGGTGGCTATGTATGTAGCGCTCCTGCTGTGTGTTTCTGTGGAATCACACACTCAGACACCAATCTTCTGTAGTTTTAGGGTACAAGGTTGAAGTGAAAAAGGGAAGTTATGGTGGAACTTTGTTCTGGCATTGTTGCAGAGTTGCAGTGTGTGTCTGTGAGTAATAATTCATACTTCTTTAACCACACTGCTGTCCTGTGACTTTATTATGCAAATATGTGTCAAGGAAACATGTTAGAAACCAAGTTTGGGAAATAACGTCATAAAATTGCTGTGCTTCGCCAACTCCTTACCCTGATAAAGGGAATCTAGTTTCTGGTTTTCATGCATTTTTCACATTTGGTTTCATGTCAGATGCCACAAATATCTTTGTTCCTTGCGTGGGTGCAGAGGCACCGAATACTTACAGCTCTCTTTCCCTGAGGGTCTTGTAGCTGGATGCTGTTAACAAATTCTTGTCCTTTTTCTGCCAACAGGAAGCTGCACCTGATTAAAAAGAACAACAAGACTTTTTATCAAGCCAAAGCAAATGCCACATCATTATTAAGAGTTAGGAAGAGGGTAGCCAGTGTTGTTCTTACCCAGGGTAGTGTTTGGCGTGTTCTTCCCAGGGGTCTTCCTCAGGCTGCCAGCCTTTCAGACCTCCACCACAACTGAAACACAACACCCTGTCTGCTGTACCTGTAAGGGCAGACATAGATTAACCTTGCTTTTATTTGTAGCCCTGATCAAATACCAGAGAAAATACTGAAATGCTAAATGTTAAAGATGTTGCTCAAGGTTTCATTAGTCTCCTTGTTATTTTCCCTTTAAGAAAGAGGGTTCTACCTGTGCTGTAAAAGCCTGCTCTGGCAAGCCTCTCATGGTTTATAGGGTGCTGGATGCCTGCAAAGGTGCCAAGCCTCTCCTCCAAAGTCCCCATGTGAACATGATTGACAGCACGCTGTCTGCTGCCACCCTCTTCTGTACTCCTTTGTAACGGGATGTTGCCCACATCGTGCCCGAGGATAAAGAAGCAGTTGGAGAAATGATGGCTGTGTTCTTCCCAAGCGGTGTCTCCTGCTTCCCAGCCAGCCAGCATGCCACCACAGCAGAAGCACTTCACCCGGTCTCTCTCTCCTAAGTAGAAGAGGCCAGCTTCAGCCAGATCATGGGGCCTCACAGGAGCTGTAGAGGGCCAACCTGAGAAGGTCTGAAGCCGGGCCTCCTCACTCCTCATGTGCGGGACCATTGGATAAGTGGACTCATCAACCACCTCTCCTGTTCTTAAACGGTATTCCATATCTTCAGCTGCCTCATTGTAGGTGGAACCATTGGTCAGATTTGTATCATAACCTATCAAGCTCAGATTTGGGCGGTGAATGCAGCTGAGAAACTTGCATGTTGGGGAAACCTGTAAAATGGGAAGAAAGATTTACATATTTGGAGAAAATAATAAAATTAATGAATACTAATCACATTTTGTATTTCATTTGTAAAATAACTACCTCTTTGTGCCTCTCCACAGGTGTGTCTCCTGCACCCCACTTCTCCACAGTCTTGTTGCAACTGAAACATCGAACACGATCGGCGTGGCCGGTAAAGTAAAAGCCTGCTCGGGCCAGTCTTTCTGCTGACACCTGCTTGGCCAAGGGGAAGTCACGGAATGAATCCAGGCGTCTGTTAAAGCCTGAAAAATCATTCAGGAAATCCGCCTCCAAGTGGCCATCTTGTTCGGGATCAAACATGACTCAATAAGATAGGAAGCTGTGGAGTTGACAAAATTTGCAGAAAAAAACAGAAAAATGATGTCAGAGGTTAAAGAGCAAATACATCTTCACTGATGGGTAGATATAATTGTTTGACAAGGGAAATGGAAAACTAAGAAGCTAATAATTTAAAACAAAAAAAATATAAAAAGAACATTAAAGCACGGTTAAAAGGTAGTCCGTTTACCACCAGCATTTGCAGAGGCTGAGTGGAACTCTACAAGGCTATTACAGCATCACTGTGCCTTTAAGAGGAGCAGCCAAACTGTATCACATGGAAACACTGAATATTCCATGTGAGGGATGGGCACCAGAGAGGAGGGATTGTCTACAGGCTTGGTACATTGCTGTATACGAGTTTTGCACAGGGTGTAGCCTAACAGCACACAGTGTACCTGAGGACATCAATTAGAAATCATGCTCAATAAAGCCATGTCACAGTAATGACCATACTGTTTATCAATAAGTGTGGTGCCATATATGATAAGTGATGGAGACAGAGGGGCAACATTGTATGTTTTAGAGGGCAAACTACTAGTACTACCAGTGAATAGCCCACTTTTTTCTCTTAGGATGTTAAGTATATTTAGTTTGTATTTATTGTATATATTTAGTCTGTATTGTACATACTTCTTATATTTAATGTTATTTAGTTTTTTTATTGCTGCTGTAACATGGGAATTTCCCAGTTTGGAATCAATACTGTTTATGTATGTATAAACATTTGGTTTGTACTGTATACCCAAAACATGAGACATTATGTTACAACACATCGTGAGAAGCACACCACACCTCCATTTATGCATACTTCTCAAAAGGGAGGCACTTCTGTTTACCTAACATCAGCCACACAGCCTCTGGTTACTAAGGTTTTCTGTCTTTACTTAGGATCACATGTGTAACATTCACAACGATGTGTTGAAAGTTAATAGGAAAAGCAGTAACGCGCAAAGCACAAGAACAGCAAACAACTTAGTGTAAATTTTAAACTTTTTTTTTTCAGCGAGGCTGTCTTAAACACTAATTCTGAACGAAAGCACAACGCTTTATCTTAACATATGAGCTATGTTGTGACTATTGCACCTTAGAACCAGTTCAGATTATATTAATTGATTATCGCGATCAATGGCGGTGTATTTACTTTATTGAAGGTTGCAATTTGTGACCTTTGGACTGAGATAAGTGTCGACTGTCTCTGAAAAACTCAATCAGCAGATGAACAGCAAAGCAGCGTTTTGTTTTATTCACACAGTCCTACAAAATTCCTCGCACAACATTGTTTTTGAATTGCGTGAGTGATTTTTTTAGCATGTGATATCGAGTCACAGCTCGGCTTTACGGACAATGTCTTAACTTGAGCTGAATCATAACACGGTAACGACTGGTACAAACATTTCCAGAAATGTCGGAAAGCATTGAGGTAAGACAATAAAACTCGCAGTCTCACTGGGGAAACACCAACAGAGCAGACCGACTGCGTTGTTTCTACGTGTGACAGCTGACACCTCGGTCACTCATGTTTGATCACAAAAGCTCACACAGCGAGTAGATAAAGCGACTTTGTGCGCATTAAAAACAGAATTTAGTAAAGCTAGTTCTGGAGTTTATAGAAGAGCTTTTGTGTTTTCACTGAATAATGAACATGTGAACTAACCCCTGCTCCAGACGTTACCTAAGCTACGTTAGCTTAGCTGTTCTCCAGGACGTTAGGTCAAAAGTTAGAAATATTAATTGCAAAACGTCTACAATTACCGTTCAGTCACCTCTTCGGTGTCGAATTTCCGTCGAGCCTATGGCGTGACCGTGGCCTGAAGAAGAATCCGGAGACAAAACGGGGACTATTTATTTGACGCGACCTCGCTATCAGGAAGCGAAAGCGAGAGGGTGTCACACTGCGCACATCGGTGTGCGCAGCCAAACCGTACAGTGACGTCGATACTTCCCGGAGCAGAGATATTAATGGTGGGGTGTCCCCTTGGTCTGCGGGGGTCCCCGGCGAAAACAGCATTAAGTGTATTCAATAGGAGTCAGTGACAAATAAGGGTTTGCAACATGAGTAATTCAAAAATGTTTTAATAAATTGTTTTAAAAGTTTGTATTAGGTTTGCAAAGATTTATATTTTGTATCTCTGTTGGTTTCATATAATTTCAAATAGCATTTAAACCTTTTTTTTTTTACAAAATGAATGATGGATTTCCCTTGAAAATGTCAAGTGGTGTAACCACAACAAACACAACCACAACATACTTATTTTCACCAATAGTGTAATCAAGTGTACTTAATTAAGTTACTTTATTATATCACTTGAAAATACATTTTGTTAGGAATTTTTTTTACAAAAAAAATTGGATGCATTTTCGCAATATATAGCAGGAGAAATGCTGAAACTTTGGCCTAAAAATGTTTCCTTTTTTGAACAAGTTGAAATATTTAGTACTGTTTTTTATGGTAACACCACATTGACATTTTCCCCATTATTCTTATGTTATGGGTTATGGGTTGTATCCATAGACCGTATTCAGTCTATGGTTGTAACATATGAAGGGACAGCTTAATTTTTAATATGTTAGTCGTAACATTTTACGTGTCATTGTCCCAGACCATAAAGAGCTTTGTATTGAGTTTATTTCATTTACAACCTTTTCATAATAAGATTTTAATTAATTTGAAGGGTGACCCACCTTGCCTTTCCCATTCAAGGTTGAAGTAGTAGTTAATCTTTGTCTTGCTACTTGGTTTTTTTGTTTGTTTCTGCTTTAAACAAAACTTTTTGCACATTGTCTAATAAATTTCCACTCACTTTTTCACTCCACAAATAACCTTTATCAATGTCATGTTGCTGAACAATATAACCCCTCTTAACAGTGTCCACAGTTGTACTACTCTTGTCCAAGCATAGTTAAATTTCAATCATTATAATTTCCTGATTTTTTTAATCCCCCTAATTTTGATACCCTTTCCTACACTTGTTAGTAGACTACAGTGTATATCAGACAGTCCCTCCGGGTAAGGTGGGTCCTTGTCTCTCCGGTAAGTCTCCAAAACCTGCATGTTATGTAATGTTCCTGGTATCCACCTGACCTGTAACATTTTTTTTAATATTCATTTCTCATACTTGGTGCTACTTGTGAAGAAAATGCCTTGGAAAGTGGTTTAATGGCAGCTGATCTTTGGGACTTCCCCACTTTCACTGACAAAATACTTCCGCCAGCTCTCTGTTCCTTCACGGAATTTTTTACATCCTCTTTCTTTCTGGTCTATGCAAATCCAGTGAAAGAGATCCGGTAGTCTCCCTGACTTTCCCCACTTTCATTTTTATTAATTTTTAGTCATTCCTCTCTAGCAGTGAATCCAATGCTCTGTTTTTTTGTTTTAAACCATGTGATTACAATGAAAGAAATAATGTTCTGACTTTTTTTGTGTTTCAGGTCTAGTTTCAAAGTGTCTGTGTCAGTCAGTGGTGGAGAGGGAAATTTGGTCATTGAGGTACTGTTTAATCTGAAACAGAAAGTAGTTAAAACCTCCTGTTAATAATGAACCTGCACTAAGATTCAACAGGTTTCTAAAAACTCTGGTTAGGGTCATGCTATTTCCACTATGGCATCATTTTAAAATAAAAAACAAAACAATACTCTGTAAGGACTTGGGAACAGAAAAGACTGATCGAGGCCCTTAGTCTGAGAGTTGCATATTTTCACATTTTTGTCTGGTGTAAGATTTCAGCGGCTTTGCAGTTTCGTTTGTCCTTTGTTGTAGTTGACATTTTAAAAAGTGCTTAACATTTTCAATGGGTAACTGCAGTCAGGCAAATTTGCCTCTCCCCTCCCCTCTAATCCAGACAAAGTGATGTCAATGATGTTCTAGGCAGGAATTCTTTGACAGTTTCCCACTATGCCTCAGTTCATTCACCTGCAAACCACAACGCCCCCATTTTTTTTTTTCAACAGTTGCTGTTCTTTTGAAATGTGCCATTTTATTCAAAATGGGTGAAAATTTTTCTCATTAAATAATGAAAAAACTTGGTTTCAACACTTGACACATTGTTTTTTATCTTGAATTTTGCATGGTTGTTCTGCAACTCATCACATCCTGTTTCTATTTACATTTTCCACTGTGTCTCAGCTTATGGAAAGAGTCATATTATACATATTACAGGCATGGACATTACCTATAATTAAATTGAATATTATTATTTTTTCTACATCACTTCATGCTCCCTTTAGGAGGATGAGCAATGGTGCTCCTTATAATCCTGTCGTTCTTGGGTTTGGTAGCCTTGAAGATACACATACTCTTAAAACAGGCTGAAAATACAGTTTTATTCTGCCATTTTTCAGAACTTCAAATTCAGAAACTAGTCTACAGTGTTGGAAACACTGATCTTTAGTGCAGGAATGAGTGTTTCTGACAAGAAATTAAAGATCTGAGTGGCTTCACTGCCCCACCTGAGCTGGATGCAGTACGGTCCAACTTTTGCGCTCACAATTGTCTCATCTCCCATCTATTTCACAAACAAATGTGTCACTCCTGGCCGCTCTGGGGGGGACTGATTGGGATGAGAATACTCTCAAAGTACCTTGGCAATGGTGGGGATTTGAACAGGGACAAAGTAAATGCATCATCCTTCTACAATTCGACGAAGTAAGTTTCCCAGTCCTCCCTTGGCTAACTGGAGGGGGGTCTTCTCCTCCTTGTTCTCAATGTAGATGCTAGCCCCATGCTCCACCAGCAACTTGGCTGCTTCCACACGCTCTTCATCACATGCCAGGTGTCTGTTTAGAGAAAGAATCACAAATGCATAAAGGAGCTTTTAAAACTCCAAATCTGTAAGAATAAACATTAGATATTCAAAATTAAGACAGGTGGTAACTACTGTGAGGCTGAATATCATTTGAGAATAATGAGACACTATGTTTTAAACACAGCCCAACTGACTTTGTTTTTGTTGTGTGCCTGTCAGCTTGAAGTATTGTCCCTTAACTTCCTAATTTTACCAGCAGTCACAATGTTTTACATGACAAATTCATGTTCACACATACAGTGGTGTGTTGCCCTGTGAGTCCTGGATGTTGGTTGAGGCACTCTCTTTAAGAAGCAGCTGAATGAGGCGGTAGTTGCCCTTTGCAGATGCTCTGTGGAGGGGAGTGGACTCTAACTTGTCTGTGGCATTGGGGTCAGCTCCGTTTTCCAGCAGCATCAGGGCAATCTGAAATTGTAAAAGTTATTGTAATGACAAAAATCTTCCCTTTTTATTTTGATGACTTCCTCTCTTATAGTATATCAAATATCATTTCAGTCACAGTGTAGTAATAATTGAGGACAATAAAACAACTAGATAACCAACCAGATAAGAGCAAAGGCTTATTGTTTTAATATAAGAGATGAAATCAACCTGTATTTCAATGTTGGTGTTTCTTTTTTATAACATTTATCAATAACCAGTGGTTTTTCTATTTTTGATATCTGTTTCCGACAGTTATATTCAATTACCACAAGAGACACAGACTTGTTTTTACATTATAAAATATGTCATACTAGAAACACATATTCACGCCAATGATGAGTGCTCAATGTTCACTTTGTCACGTGTTCAGAGGAGCATTTTTTTTCTTAATAAATGAACTTAACAATTGTTTAAGATGTTTTTACAGGCCTCTCTGAAGTAATATCATCACATGCATGTTTTGTTTTGTTTATTTTAACTACCAGCACTACTTGATACAATACAACAAATCAGCACATTTGTGTTTCACTTCCAGCCTCTGTTAAAGAACTGCTGGGATATCTCTATTTCTTAGTTCAGTCCTGCTTGATTTCTGTGTATTCATAAGACACTGCAGTCTCATGCTCTTGTATGGGTACATGTGGGCAAATGCTTGTGCTAACCGGAATCTGCTGATCTAAGAATAAGAATAAGAATAACTTTATTAATCCCTGAAGGGAAATTCAATAATCTAATCTGAAATGCTGTTATAAAGTGTAGCAGAAGGTGACCAATGTGGGACAAAACTGTACATTGCATTAAAGAGATCTTTGATTACATGTTTTGTATGAAAAAAGTCACAAAAATTAAAGCATATAGAAAAATGTATGGCATTATGCACATCAAGCTCATCACCTTATGTAACTGTAACTTGGGTTAACTCACCTCATATCTGTCTTTGGAAGCTGCGTAGTGCAGAGGGGTGCATCCATTTTGATTTATTGAATTCAGCTGAGCTCCTTTGGAAATTAAAGCTCTCACAATGTCTTCTCTGCCAGCAGATGCTGCGATGTGTAGGGGGGTCCATGAAGCCTGTCAAGTAACATGTCAATTCTAATAATTGGTAGAAAAGTCTTTCTTGTCATAACACAAGGTGCAATAAATTCCTCTGTGGCATACCTGAATGGCAGAAACACACATGCATCCACAAATATGAAGAAATGTCATGGATAAAAGGAACACTCACACAAACATACATACATATGTACATATTCACTCTTAAATATGTACACACACATACATACTAGGGCTGGGCGATATGGGAAAAAATGTATCCCGAGATGTTTTTTCCCATATCAGTAAAAATCGATATATCACGATATAAAAAATAAATTTTCACAATACTTATTGGTAGCATGTCTTTTGCAATACAATAAGCTACTGCATCTGTGAGGTCTTTGTGTCTCTTTAACGTTTTGTCGTACGGGCGTTGAGCTAGAGAAATTGGGCTAAATGGTTGGCTGTTACGGCTGCACAGGTGCCATGGAATCCTTGCTCCGCTCAGGGTTTGTAACCTTTTGCGTGGCACTGCTTCAGGTGGTGAAAAAGATTTGAGGTATTTGAGGTATATATATATATATGTATATATATGTATATATATATACACATCCATATTGCATCCATCCATTGCAGATTGCACTCATTGTCCTGTTAGTTTTATTGGTTGACCACAGGGAAAAGTCTGATTTATTGTCCCTGTTGGCTGGCTTTCTTATGTTCAGTTATATTGCTCTATGGTAGAAACTGTTCTTGAGTCTGGAGGTGTGGGCTTTGTATGCACTCTAGCGCCTTCTAGAGGGGTGGCAGTATAATTTTGTATGAGGTTGGTAGGGATATTTACAAACTGTAAACTTTTGTTCCTCTTAAATGCATGATCATTAATTCACACTGTGAATTAATTGTGAAACACTGTTGATCAGATTCTGATTGAAATCCAAATATTTGATGAATTAAAGAATATCAGATATATAAATTAGAGACAATATTGTCTGGTCTTTCATTTAAAATTAAATGTTGCATTGATGAGTCAGTTTCATAAAAAAGTTAGCTTGACTAAGATTGCTAGGGACAGATAGACATAGGGTGTTCAGTGCAGCTGTCATGTTTTAGCTGTGGGACACCTCCAGGGTTAGGGTTAAGGTACAGACAGACCGTATCAGACTTGGCTTCTAACAGAAAAGATGATCATGTGAAAAATGAGGAGGCTCACATCATCTTGCAGGTTCACTTCAGCTCCCACATCAAGCAGGAACTCCACAATGTTGGTGTGGCCGGCAGAACAAGCCCAGTGCAGAGCGGTTCTGTGATCCTGAATTATAAACAGAAGGGAATGTAAAGGCAAAAATCTTCAGATCTCATGGTCACATCATAACGCGGTCTTACCTGGTCTGTTTTGCAGGCAAGCGTTTTATCTGACAAAATACACTGTCTTAATTTCTCAAACTGGCCCGTGTAGGCAAAGTTACAGACCTCCACATTTGATACTGAACCCTCCATTATTTAATAAACTTACATACAAAACAGAAAAAGTAACGGGACAGGGGGTGTTCTAAGAGGTCTCGTTGCAGATTTGAACCAGGAGTGCAATGACTCAGGATATTATGAAAGTTACTTCCGCATGGGTCATTTTTTACTCTTCAAATTAAAACGCTTAAAGCGCAATCACCACGAAATCGGGCCAAAAAGATAAGCAGTCTTGTTCCTAATTTATTCTCATTTAATTACAATCATCTAAGAAAATATTAAACATACATATATGGCTTCTACAAAGCCATATGTAGAAGTCGTTGCGTTTATACATTTTATTTTGGTAGTTACAGTTGGCAGCCTTAAGAAGTGATACAAGCGAAAAATAAATAGAGCTGTTGTTGGTTGTTTAATGAAGGAGGGAAAAGGGCTATAAAACTTGAACATTTACATTTCCTCTCTGATATTTTGGTCATAGTCGATTAAATTTATATTTATTGACTAATGGCGAGCACGCTGGTAAGTTAGAAATCACGCTTCCCGGCTACAATGCAATTGCTCACGTTAGCATGCTAGTGTTAGCACGTGTCTAAAGAGCAACTCTTAGAATAAACATTTCACATGTTTTAGTTTTCCGTCTTGATCGGCCATGATCCTCAATCACGATTTAACATGTGATTCTCTCACCAGGATTTCAGGACTCATGTTGACCAGTCCTGCCGATATTCAGAAGAATTTGTCAACATTTACTATGACTGCATGGATAAGAAAAGGAGGGTAAGTGATGCTCATGTTTTGTTCTCCCACATACACCCACTAGACTAAAAATTATAAACACCTGAGAAAGAAGTTTAATACAATAGGTCTATCTTTCAGGAAGTTTCTAAATAATGAGTTTTTGTAAACATGATCATTCCTAATCCTTATTATTGAAGATGTTGTCAGTAGAGGTGTGTATTAAACTGAAAGTGTTCCCTATATTTTGTTCCCATATTCGCGTTTCTGTATTTTATTGCATCAGGGTCTCAGTGAATGAACCGCCAAATAGCAGGAAACTAGGTGTCTCTGTTACCCACAAGAGGGCAGTGTCACCTTTGTTCTTCCTTTGAAAATGCCCCACCCAACATGCTGTGTTACATAATCCTAAGGCATCCTTATTGAGTTTTTTTCCGTTCAAGATTGTTCTGACTATTCTTTCCTCAATGTGGTTTGAAATGTCTTCTCATGGCAGACTTCAGTATAGATGAATTATCAATTTCACTATCAGAGTTCCACAAAAAAAAAAAAAAAAAAAAACTTAAAATTTTTTATTTGTACATAATTTTTCACCCCACACCACCATGCTATGGAACAATAAATACATTCTACACCGAAATAAATCATTATACTATCAAGATTAGACTGAGAGAAATATATGGTCAGTTATTGACTTAGTGGATATCAGTGGTAATCTTTTGAGCAATCAAGATTTTTGCCTTAAACATAACTTTAATCGTTCTAAATCAGACTTTACCAAACCCCATAAAGCACTCCCCAAGTAATTCTTATTTTTAACAAAAAATATATTGGCCCACTAACAGATAAAACCACAAATAGGATCATTAGCAATAAAAGGAGTGCTTAAAAAATGTAATAATTATTTCATAAGAAGCTGCCTCATGGAAAAGTTATTCCCTGGTAGACAAAACAAAAATGACGTATTACATAAATTTGATTCAGAATCAACCAACACACTACGAACAATGTTTCTAAAACTCCTGATACCCCTCAAAACAAAAGAAACCCACTTTAAAAGTATGAACATCTTTCCCTTAAAGGAACTACTCAGACAGCGATTTAATTTAGAAGACAACATGTGCACTTTTTTTTAAAACTGATAACTGATACTGAAACAACAGACCATATATTTTTCTCATGTAACATAACACATTCTGGATTAATATTCACAAATGGATTAAACAAAAAATTACAGTATCTCCACAATGTATTTCTTTAGATAATGTTACTTTTGGAATGATACTACCAAATAAAAATGATGAACTCTGTTGCAATGTATTTCATCCATAAGAATAAAGTTAGATCATCCCCCAGATTTATTTTTTTTCATAAACGAATTTAAAATGTATTTGAAAGCTCTTAAATCGTGAACTGGTTTGAAGGAACAAAAGTTACATATCTCAAAGAATTTTCCCACTGATATGAACAGCTAAAAATGTTTTAAAAAAAGAAAGAAAACTCTTGTAAAGTTTTGCATAGCGTAAATTATTTTATTTATTTTAAGTTACTTTTATGTTTCTGTTTGCTCGTTGTTTTTCACTATCTACTTTATTTTATTGCCCTACTGTTTTTTTTTCCTGTCTTAACATGCATTGTCTCTTTCCCATATTGTAAAGTATTTCTCACTGATATGTTATTTCAATATTGAAATTACTGTATGGAACTGATTCTGCTATGTTTGGAATTGTAATTTTGTTAACTCTGAATAAAGCATTTAAAAAATATATATATATTCTTTCTCAATATATATTTTTTTCTATCATACCCACACTAGTGTAGAAATACAAATGCACAAGTTTTTGTATTCTTTCTCTTGTTTTATGTCATCACTGTTGTGTTTATGTCCCATCACTTTGTCCTGTGTTTTAGAACTTGACGCGGCTCTACCTGGACAAGGCGACCCTGGTGTGGAATGGGAATGCAGTATCAGGACAGGATGCTCTGGGCGAGTTTTTCGAGGCGTTACCTTCAAGCGAGTTCCAAGTTCAAACTCTGGATTGTCAGCCGGTTCATGGTAAGTGGGAAACTTTCAAAGTTAATATGTATTAAAGTGCTGTGGTGATTTCCAAATGCATTTCCAAGCATGAAGAACTGTGTAAATGTAATGGGGTGCACAGAGTGCCGTCCATTCAAGATGATTAAGGTGTGAAACTGTCTAAGTGAGGCCTTTCATGTTAAAATAGTGTTCTGTGTAAGGGAATGCTAATGTAGCATCAATTGACCCTTTCTGTATTTTCAGAACAAGCAACCCAAGGCCAGACAACTCTCCTCGTGGTGACTGGTGGGACAGTCAAGTTCGAAGGGAACAAGCCACGCTTTTTCAATCAGAACTTTCTTTTGACAGCTCAGGCTTCACCCAACAATGACCAGCCTGTTTGGAAGATTGCAAGTGACTGTTTCCGATTTCAAGACTGGAACAGCTGACGCTTTCCTCATCTGCACTGATCAAATGGGTGAACACTCTCTGTGACAACCCAAAGTTTTGTTTGTTTGTTTCTGTTTTTATAATAAAAATCAAAAGTCATACAACGCTGAATATGAAAAAACTTTTATTCCTAAAATGTTGAACAAGGCAAGTGACCATAAAGATGGAGTAATAAATACAAATAGGATCACAAAACAACCAGCTGTAAAGTGAATGTCAACGTCTGCTTCCTTTAGTTTAATGATGCAAATCCATTCAATATGACAACACCTGAAAAATATACATAGAAAACACTCCTATAATATTAAATTGAACAGACTTAGTTTTAGACAACCTTATTCCAAATTGTACATTAACTCTTAACTGAGGTATTACAGTATGCCAGTTTTAACTAGCCTATGCTAATGAGCATTGTAGTAGCAAAGCATGCTTGCTCTTAAATAAGGTGCCCACAAGACTTTAAATTGGAAGTGCTTTCTATATAATCCTGCTATTTGACAATTTCATATATTAAAACATTTGCTTATCTTCCTGAGTTGTTGATGTTGCACATTTTGGTCTTATTTTCGGAGAAAAAAATGACAAAACAACAAAAGCATAAATAATATGACTGGAAAATAATGAGTAGATAAGCAGACATGATCATCAAGAATATTTTTCTGTATTTGAACCACATCAATATTTCTCATGGGCAGTTTTTACCTGAAGCTGTAAACTTTACATGACTGTTAAGCCATTTCTGTGACAAAAACGTAAACTATTTCCTTAAACCTAGTTGCCACTTATTTCTGCTCCACTACATAGGTACTGCAGACTGAAGGCACAGTAACATTAGGACTTCAACTTTACAAAAGAGCATTCACAAGCCTCCGTGATCACTATAGATGTTAGCCTTTTTAATGGAAGTAACACTAAAGCTTTAGCAACATATGGAGGATAGTGGTACTTTTTTTTAACAACTACAAACTAAGAGCCAACAGACTCAAATGGATGGCAGTCAAGTGCTGTAATGGTCTTGGACCCTTTAATGATCTAAAAGTTTCCCCTCTTCGACAATCAAACCCACACTAGAGAAAAAGAAGCAGCACATGTGGATGAACAGCTACATCTATCTACAGCTTCAGCTCTCTTATTCAAGACATTTTTCATTTGGACGCTTGTGGTACACAAACAGCATAAAAATCCAACAAGGTACCAGAAGACTATTTACAGATCAATACAGTGGTTTGGTGGTAACAGACACTCCTGGGTGAAATTGGTGGCGATTTATTTCCCCCCATACATTCTCTCTATGTGGTGGAGATAGTGGTTCTTCAGCTCTTTCCTCTTCAGCTTGAACGCATCCGTGACAAGACCTGTCTCAGGGGTCCATGGCTCTGGACTCAGGTGAACCTTCATTGGAATCTCAAATCGCTGGAGTTTTACTATTTGGGTTAAAAACAGAGGAAAATAATGATGATGCTTTTCCATATTTATCACAGTCTAATACAATAAGCCATTTGTTATCTCCTACCAAAGTAGCGGTAAATAACATACTGTGCAAAAATTGTATGAGTAAAAATTAGCATGTAAGTAAAGAAGTATGGCATATCAGAGTAGCGTGAAAAGACATAATCAACTCTTACTGTTGGCAGCGACCTCCTTGATCTCCTTCAGAACTTCCCTTTCCATGTCAGGGTTGGTGCAGATCTCCTCCCACGTTGCCTCTATGCCTCTTTGCTTAGCAAGCATTGTTAACCTTTTCTGGTTGGGAACCACAAAGCTGATCACGTAGTTCTGTTCGCTAAAAGGATGAAACAGAGGAAATAAAGTGTTATTATTAAGGCATGCGCAGGGAAAACAATAAGCTGAAGTCATAGTCATAGGACCACTAATTATGCAGTAGTGTGCAAGCAGAAGATGAGATGGGTAATGTGTGAGAAAGGTGTCAGGTGCTGTGTAAGTAACAGAAGCACTTTAAATGTATCAGATGTAGAATGGTAGGAGTGGCAGAATTAAAGCTGTGATAATATAAGCTGTGGATAATGTCAGCTTCAAAATATGAACAACAACTGCAGAAGGCTAGAGTGACCTGGAGTGCTGAAATTATATTGATTAATTCATTTAAAATGAGACTTGTGATTTTAAGTTTAATTCAGGTTTCCAAGCTTCACTGCAAAGATTCAGGACAAAAATGAACATTTCAAAAGACTGAGCAAATATTTAAAATATAGATTTTTAAAAATGTCAAATCTATAAAGCATGTCTAATGTCGATTTTAAGTAAAGGAGACTACATTTGTAGTTTTGTCAGTATTGAAGATGCATTTCCTTGACACCAGTTATGGCATAACAATTTTGGTTTGTAAGTGAAAGTTAATCGTTTATAATCTTGTTCAAACTGGTTACAAACCAGTTCGGCTCTTGATTACATTCCGAGTAAGAATCACTTTCCTCTTGGGCGTTTCCTTTAATGAGTTACTGACAGTCATTTCACGAGAGGTTTCTTCTCAACTTAATCGTAATGTTTCACAGTGCAGGTTTTAAACGGATGATGCAGGCTTATTGGAAGGATTTCAGTAACACATCCAGGGGTGTTAAAAACAACACTTTATACATAAATGAAGGCACTGTACTCACCTGTTTGCGTAAGCACAGATGTTGTCTACAAGTGAGCAGTTTTTCAGAGCAGACTCGACTTTGCCCAGTGACACGTACTCCCCAGCCTGCAGCTTCACCAAGTCCTTCTTGCGATCTTAATGGGAAAACAAAATTGAGTTATCAACAGCCCTGTTGTCAAAAACAACCTATTTGCCTGCTGAAATTTCCAACCACACTGACTGCGGATTAGTACTGTGAAATCAGGCATGAATAGTGTTCCTTTAACCAACACCATCAGATGATAGCTCGCTATGAGTACAAAAACACCCACCGACTATTTGTAGACATCCATCAGGATATATCTCTCCAACATCCCCGGTGCAGAACCATCGCTGTCCCTTTTCATCCACGTAAAAGTCCCCATTGTTGCTCTCGTTCCTGTAGTATCCCATGGTTACATTGGGACCACCAATCAGGATCTCCCCTCTTGGGTTTGGTTTGTCTTTGCTGGTGTAGCCACCTGAAGAAAGGTGGATAGTTAGTCAAATAACAAAGACTAATCATGTTATCAAAAGATACTTATCATTCTGCACTGAGTGAAGCATGTGTTTCTCAGCCCTACCTTCAGCCCAGTCCCTGAGTTTAATCTCACAGCAGATAAGAGGAGCTCCGACACGGCCAGTGCTGATATCTGCAACTGTACAATTACACACAACCCTTTAAAATTTATTTACATGATCATTTCCATATCTTCTCTCTTCCTATCCAAACTCTGAATCTGCTCTTACCCTCTGTGATGGTGCCTGCTCCACAGGTTTCAGTGAGTCCATACCCCTGACCCACTGGACAACAGAAGCATACATTCATGAATCGCTGAGTGGCTGCTGACAGGGGAGCTCCTCCAGACAACATCATCCTCACTTGTCCTCCAAGAATTTTCTTTACTTTCTTGAACAACAGGCTGCAAAGACAGAGTGCTTTGTATTAATTCAGTTTAACAACTTTAATCCAAATTCTTAGAAGAACCTGAATAAAACAGTGATTTCTTACGCGTTGCACAAGGGTGCGTCATAACCTCTCTTTATCTGATCGAGTTTGTAGTTGTAGCCCAGGGTAAAGAGCTTCTTCTGGATGAAATTCATTTCCTGCACTCGGCTCATCACAGTCTTGTTGATGCGGTCCATAATTTCCTTTGAAAAGGAGAAACCACAGGGAATCTGTTTGTGCATTTGAAAACGACTTGGTTGAAAAAAGAGAATATGAGTGTACTCCTGAGCAAACAGAGAGAGGTGGAGGACCAGTGAAAGAAAAAAAAAAATCAGTGGTGAGTGAGACACCAAGGAAGGGATATGAAGCAAGATTCTTACCGGCACAGCTGCCATCAGGGTTGGTTTGAGCACAGAGCAGTCTCCTTTACTTCCTTTCTTAATCTTGGTGGACTGAAGAAAAAAATAAAAAAGCAAAACTTACAGATAAAGATTACTTTCAACTGCAGCAAATATTAGACCGATGATAACTTTGTAGACTAGTCCAAGTAATCTCACTCAAGTTGTTAAGAAGAAATCTTACATACATTAGCCACAGATGCTAACAAAGCTGTTGTTGGTGCTCAGTATTACCTGGTCGGACAGCGTCTGGGGTGATGAGTAGCCAATTCGACAACCATATGTGACGCAGGAAATCTCAGCTGTCATTTCAAGGACATGAGCCAGGGGCAGATAGGCTATGTAAGTATCATTAGGCCTGCCACAGAACAGAGAGAGAAAGTAGAGGTCAGGCCCAGCAGGAACTTCATGTTCTCTTCTTCCAGTGTTGACAATGACCATCTTTGATGATGGATAAACAGTTCACAGTGTTAAATGTAGAAGACATTCTGTAAAAAGCATGATTTTATTGCTTTACACTTCTAGATACAAGATGCAGCTTATTATGCTTTTACAAGCCCTCATTAAATTTATATGGAAAATTCCACAGCTATCTGTCTGGTGTCAGTGTTTTAGTTGGAAAAGGGACAAAAAAGGGGCAGGGAGGTGAGCTGTGAAGCGGAGCAATGCTGGCTAGGGGAAGGTTAAAGAAACCTAGAGCCTAAATGAAAATCAATAAATTGATACTGACCCCAGTCCAGGGATGCGCTCACACTGGCCTGTCATTCCTGCAATCAAGTTTCTGTGGACAATCATGACTCCTTTCGGTCTGCCTGTAGAGCCACTGGTGTACATCACCACAGCCAGATCACACGGCTGAGGCTTCACAATCGCCCTCCCCACTGAAAGACAACAGACAGTTATTGACTGGTACTATGTGTACGTTTTTTTTCACCCCTGAACAAAGTACAACTAATGCAATCAGTAGTTGTGGTAATGTAATCAGAGAAATACACACTATTCTCAGGCAGCGAGCCCAGCTCTTGTACGGCCTCCATGCTGTGGATGGACAGTCCTGCTGGGTAGCCTTCTGTGCTCACTTTCTTCTGGTCCACGTAAATCACATGCTTCAGTTTGGGGATCAGTGGAAGCACACTCTGGACATAAAGAGAGGACAGCTCTGTTATCACAACAGGATGCGCAAGCATGTGATTTCCTTTGACAGAGGAGAGAGGTTTCTGTCTCAATTATCACTGACATAATCTTTATAGTCGGTTGCAACTGAAGCCAGTGAACTGAAAAAAAAAAAAAAAATCCTACACTTGAAACACTAGAAGATCGTAAAAATCCACAAATAAGTCTGGAATTACAGTTGTGTTTGAGGTCTCACCATACAACATTTATTATTTAGTAAACAAAACGTTCTTTTTTAAGTATGTGTCACACCACAACTATCACAAATATTAAAAAATACATGAATACATAAAACTGTCTGTGTAAAGTATTTAGCATCACTCCCAGCTTTATTTTCCTAATCTTTCTCTCTTGGTCAGTCCCGACTCTGACTCAGCCTGATAATTTGAAAACAGCTGTCATAATGAAGTTAATCCATTTCTTATAAAAACTTGACAAGATTTAAACCAAGTCTGGGAGTCAGACTAAACAATATTCTCTTAGCAGAAGTCTTCTTTATCTGTCTGCTTTCACTCACAGATACTGTGTTCATTCATTCATTCATCCATGTGGCTGCACTCAGCTTTGATGTTCATGAAACCACCTCACCCCACCCTTTAATAGAAATGCATTCATAGAGAACAAAGACGTTTCATGATCAACTTGTGATCACAGCTCTTTTCTCTGCTTTGGTACTGTAGGAGATTTACTCACCTTCAGTTTATTCTCTAGCAGATCCACACTTGTCACTAGATGTGTAACTCCAGTCTCATTCAGCCCATATGCGATCGCTTCATCTCCCAAAGTGGCGTAAAATGTCACCACTGCAGTGAACACGAAATTAAAAATTATAAAAAGCAATGAAAACATTTTTAAAAAGATGGCATTTTGTACTAAACCATGATTGACTTACATGGGAAATTCCGCCTGAAGCATGCCTGAGCAGTGATCATCCACTCTGCTCTGGTCTCACAAAAGATCGCAATGCTGCTTTTCGGCTGTTGCCCCAGAGCTGCCAATCCACTGCCAAACTGGCTGATGATAGTGTCCACTTCATCGTAAGAGAGCCATCTATACTCCCCAAGGATTAGCTAGCAGAGGAAAAATAAATATTAGATATATTTTCCTTACAAGCATCCAAAGGAAATGAAGTAATGGGAATTCTTACCTTTTTAAATACTTTTCCACTGGGCTGGATCTCGTTCTCTTCGCTCAGTATATCTCGAGTGCCGAGACAATGGCCTGGTCCAAAGCGCTGCACAGCATGGTCGAACAGCTTATCCAGTGTGTCTTTGCCAGGGAAGTCCTCTGTGGCCAGGCACTCAAAATGGTCCACAGAGCGGTATGGGCCCTCTGCTTGGTCTGTAGTTGAACGGGCCTTTTCCCGCCTGGACTGAGCTTGTCTTTCCCCAGCACCAGTGATGAAGTACCAGGGGAGGAAGGACAGGACAGAGTACAGCCATACTAGTAAGTGGACTGGAAAAAGGAGGATAGCTTGGAGGGCTGAGTCTGCCTGAAGACCCATACTGCTTTATGAAAAAGTACTTGAGGAAAGGAAGGTAAATGAGCAGCAGGGGTGGTCAAACTAGTTTTGAACAGTGTGCTGGTCCTGGAATCGTAAAGTAGGGGGTGTGTCAAACAAGGAGCCTCAGAAAAGTAAGTGCTCCGGCACGAATTCCACAGCTGCAGTACAAAAATATGTGGTCCACTGTAACCCTGATGTAACACCTAGAAATGGAAAAAAGAAAGAACAGTTACAAGTAAATTCACTTTGCCAACCATTTAAAAAAATACATCGAATGGTTAATCACAGAATTTTAAAAAAAGGATAAAATAAGATTTGAATTTCATCCTGCACAGGGGTCACATGCCAACTGTTGCCTGGTAAAGGGAAGTTGGTACTTTGGTGGCACACTTCTTTAAAAAAAAAAAAAAAAAAAAAGACAACCCTGACAAAAAGAAATGGCTTAAGATGACCTCCAACCTACATCTAGAAGTCTTCTAAATTTATCCTGATGATACTGTACAGATGAAGAACTCCACTAAGTGCTCATCAGAGACTCACCTCCTTCTTGTTCTGTACCAAACAGCCTCTGAATATCTGTCAGCTTCAATACTCGCTTTTATGGGAGTCCTCTTAGGAGGGGGTGTTTTCAAGATCATTTCAAGATCCCTCCCTCTATTTAAGAGTCACAACTCTTTTCCCCTTTTTGACAAAATTGATCAGGTCATCAGAGAGGTCAAGGAGGGATAAAGCAGTGTTGAGATGTGACCTCTCCGTCCAATGACCACAGTCGTGCCAGCTATACTGGAGAGGATAGAGCGACAGAGAACCAATGACAATACTCTTGAAGCTCACCCCACTCAGTGGTCAGTGAAAAGGTCACTCTGGGACAAGCTTAGCTCACTAATAACCTCAGGATGAAGGTTAAGATGACAGAGTTACCACTGATAACATTGAATGATGCTTCAGCAACATAAACAACCCCTGCAGTGACAGAAAACCACTGAAAACAAGAAAATGAATGAAGTAATTGTATATTAAAGTTGTCACGTGGGATCTACTTTTCAATTAAAAACAGTTAAAGAAGGATACTTATGTCCTCCACAGCATTATGAAGAAGGGTTAGCCTCTTCTCTTAGGTTCTAACATGACTGGGTTTTTCCTCAGTTTACCTTATCTAATTCCTGATCGACAAGAAGTGGGCATTGTACTAACAAACCCTCCCCGTCCTGAAGGTCCAATATTGCACAAAGTGTGATTCACATTTCAGTGAATCACACAGTACTGATCTGCGTCACATACAGTACAAGCCTGTATATCTAAAAAAAAACATCTGGCAGCACTCTTGGAGGTGAAAGAGAGGGAAAAAAAGGTGGTGAGGCAACTTTAGTAGGTCAGATCTTTCACCTCTGGCTTTCAATAAATTCAGTTCATTCTAAGGAACACCAGTTAACATTCCTTGGTAATTACAGCATACAGTATATGGTAGACATTCCCTCCAAGCTAATAAAGTAGCTGAAACAACAGTGACTCCAGAGACGAGTTTTTCTGGCTCTCTTTGTTTAAGGGACTCTAACCGGCTGAATATTCAGATGATTTCATTTGCAGATCGCTATTTTAACAGTGAAGGGGAAATGGCAGCAGACATAAGTGGTAAGAAAGCAGCATGGTTGAGGAACATCCCAACTGAGTCGATTTTGAGGCTGTTACATTAGGATGAATTGCGCAAATTTCCTGTATTACACACATCACACGTTGCTGATTTATTTCCATGGCAACAAAGCAGAGCGGAAAACAATTGAGTTTAATTTATCCTACATTTTTACACATTGCATGGTAGGAGAGGAGGCAGACAAAGTGATGATAAAAGCCGTCAAATGCTGCTGGTACAGCATGTGTCATAGAGAACCGTGGGCATGCAAAATGATGCTAGCTGCCGAGGATGTTATTGAACCAAATATAACACAGTCCACTCCAACTAAGCCAAACAGAAACCTACAAACGGATAAAGGCGGTAATGGGATCACATTAGCCGAGCTAGAGAGTGATACCCCGCTTAGTTGGCAGGCAGGTTGCTTTCTTACCTTCAACAGCGGAAAACCCGGTCAATTGCGCGCCTACTACTACCATGGTCTCTCTGAACAGAGAGAATGACCGACAGTTACCTTTTCACAGGACCTAGAAACCCGGAACCACTACGTCATCTGATTCCATATTTCTAGACCAATGAGCAGACGAAGAGGAGTTGGCGTCGTTTTTTCCCCCCTTACGTCTGCTAAATGACAAATAATATTACAGGAAGTAAATGCCGTCTCTGTTCTCAGCTGTTACCGATATGGGGGTGTCTGTGTATATGTTCTTTCGTGTTTGTACAGGTAACACGAACATTTGAGTAAAATGGCTGTATTTTGTGTAAACATGTTTATCACTAAAGCCAGAAATATCGGACTACTGGCTGTAGCCCATCTGTTGTTTTATAACTGAGCCCCTCTTGTAGTCTATAAATAACCCTGTGACTCTCCCTTGTAGATCTATATACCCAGTTATATGGTATACGTGGCGTTTTGAAGAGCTTTGCTACAGGAGAAACAATGATTTAAAGCCTTCAGGCCTATCAGATATAATTCAACTGTATGTTGATAAATTTAGATAGGCTACTGCACTACTGCCTTGTGGTCATCTATCTATCTATCTATCTATCTATCTATCTATCTATCTATCTATCTATCTATCTATCTATCTAGTGTTTGTGTTAACATTTGACATATGTTCACAAACCCCAGACATTGAAATGCACTGTCCCACATAGATTTCTAATGACATTGAAGAGTGAAATAAAAATAGAATAAAACACTTCAACATGCCTACATCCTATTCCTTAACTGTAAACGTTTAAATGTTTTTATATCCATATATTACATACAAAGGCTGTGTATTGGCTTTCAAACTGGTTTAGATGACACAGCACAGACAAGTGTGGTCCATGTGCACCCCTGCAGATGAACTGTAGTCAGTAAGATTACACTTCTCAACAAAATCACATGTTGTTTGGAAATTATAGTATTGGATTGCACATTAACATTTGAACCTCTGTCAAACATTTGTAATAGAAGTAAATGTTCAATTTAACTCATAATCTCTCCACTGACGGTTATTTCATGTAAAACTATAACTAACAGAAGGCCAGGAGACTTGCTGTTGAGGTTGCCCTCAAGTGGCCGAATTATAGAATAACCATTCTCATAGGAAACTTTGCAGGAAACTGAACAGGAACTGAAAGTTGATGTTGAAATTACAAAGTTTGGATTTTATCAAGTTTAAGATACAGTCCCAGCAGATACATTTGGTGGGAACTTTAAGCAATCTTACAAATAACTGTTTGCATTTTGCAATGAGCACAAGGGCCGTGAAATAAAGTTATCAAACTGAATACATTTTATTGAGTCCAATAAACCTGCATTTCTGATCCAAAGAGGAAAACTCTGCACAGCTTTGGATCATCTAATCTTATTTTCCGTGTGTGTACACATAACAAACTTCTCCATAGTAATAAAAATTTTAAAGGTATCAATTTGTTGCAAAATAAACACACAATGCAATTTAAGAAACGACACCAAACCCCTGTGTTTCTTTAACCAAAGTGGTACAAAGATCTGAAATTGTTCCTAGAAGCACTTAAAATATTGCGCACTGTTCATCCAGACTGTACAGGAAGGTGCCTGTAGAGGGCAGTGTCGTCAAGATATTAAAATGGACAAGGTGGAGACTGTTCACTGGACAAACACTGCCATAAAACATTATTGTTTCTTAGTATCTATTTTTTTTTCTTTTTTTATGAATTTGGGTGCATACTGAGAGATGACCAACTCTGCCACTAAACCCCAGCCAAACCATTTATCGCATTTTGTGATTCAGGTTATTCTTATAAATGTAAGTTTTATATTTATACTTAAATATAGATCACATTCTCCCTCCAAAGTATGAGTATGAGTATGTAAATCTGCAATATTCATACTCTATATTGATGAAATTATTCAGAATAAATAGTATGTGACCTTTTTCACTGTGCTGCAGTTTACAATTGTTATTACTTTTGTTGTTATAAAATTCCAAAAACGCTACATTCCATTTTTACTTTCCCATACCCATACTTTATAAGAAATGTAGCTGACCAGTTATTTAGTTAGTGCAGATTAATATGGTGCAGTCTGATGAAAGCACTGACTAAGCAAAGATTGAATCCCTCAGTTGGGAAATGAGGAAGTAAACAAGATAGAAATTTTGACCTTTTTTTGTTTCATATCATAATGTGAGGAAGGTCTTTTTTTGTCTGATGCTCTGATTAATTAAATGTAAAATACATTTAACAGGATGGATGGACTGAGACCGTAAAGATGGCATTATACCTGAGATTTAATAGTTTTACTGAAAAAGATTGCTGCCAGTTGACTTAGTAGGCTTGCACAATACAAAGCTTACATACATGATTGTTCAACACCAGTTTTCCTGTTTCATGTAAGCTACATTCACGCACATTTGCATGCAGCCACATGCAAAATATCATAAAAGCTAATAGGTAGGTGGCAGTACTAGGGTTGATAATGGGCCCTCCTAATCCAGACCTGATTAACCAAACCAAAATCTTAAACTATCACTACGTGGTCTTGACTGAGGCAGGACTTAAGATAAGTCGACTTCTGTTGCAACAGGCTGCTGTAAACTGTCCTTGCATTTGGACTTATAACCTTCTCTAATATTTATACTTTAGTTACTTTATAGTTTAGTTAGTGACATTGGATCTATTTTAATCACTAAAGGTCAGAGCTCTTTTTATTATATTGTTGTTATTTTTAAAATATAAGTATACACAGAAATATAAACACCTTTTTTATAGTTCAGTGCAGGTCCAGAGGGTGTTTTATATCAGACAAAAAGGGTAAATAAATGTAATTTATTCATGTGTGCTTGTATGATTCATGGTACCTCTGCAAAAGTTGCGTCGTGGTTTGGCCAGTTTGGGCTCAGTCCTTTGCAGGCAACTGTGACCCAAGTACTTACAATAAAAACCTGACTAAATGCTTTGATCCCAAGCTTTGCTAGTAGCAACAGGCTAATAATCTGATGGGAACAGACCAACAGAGATGCAGCAACTTCAAGCGTTTATCCTTATCTCCAGACACAGGCTTCAAACTGAGCTTTAAGAAACTGAAATTACATCTTTGAAATTGAAACATTTGTTTTGTTGTTGTAAGATCTACAGAATATATTAAAAACAAATTATTAACTTGACAGAGAAACCTTAAGTGCAAAGAACTGGCCCTAGGGCTGGGCGATATGGTAAAAAGTTTATCACAATATATTTTTTTCTTATCAGTCGAACTCATGATATATATCATGATATAAAAGTAAAACTTAACAGTGCTTATTGGTCACATGTCTTTTGCAATACAATAAGCATCTGCATCTGTGAGGTCTTTGTGTCTCTTCGACGTTTTGTCGTAAGGCTACAGAAAGCGTTGGCTGTTTCGGCTGCACAGGCGCCATGGGCTCTGCTCAGGGTTTGTAACCTTTTGCATTTTGCGTGTGCTCTGCCGCGTGGCTCTGCTTCAGGTGGTGAAAAAGATTTGAGGTATTCCCTGACTTTGCAAGAACATGTACTCTACATAAATTGCAATGCACATTACTCTGCTTCATGTCCAACCTTAACCTCCACACCACTGTTTTCGTGCCAGTGTTGTCGACAATGTCATCATCTGTTGAGCCTTAAGGGTGTTACACACTGGGGCCGACACGAATATAGAACATGAAATCACGAAATAATCGGAGGCGAATTTTAACGCACCTGACTATACACATCAAGCCCGACGCAGTTTTGCGACTTTCCGGGGGGAAAAGACGCATCTCAACATGAAGCGGATCCGGAGCAACTCCTCTTTTCATTGGCTATTCGTATAGTCTACCAAAACATGGCAAAATGCTGACCATCGAAAAGCATATTGACCACGTTAAGGAAATTAATTTTCGATATATATTGTTATCATTCTAACACCCAGCCCTAACTGGCACTATACCTTTTTAAATTGATTTTTATTGACAGATATATACTATTCCTCTTTTTGGCCTAATTCTGATAATTTTGCTTTGTGGTTGTTGGCTCGATTAGGTGTACATCCATCCATCATATTTTATGTGTGTTGTTGTGAATAATTTTCCTTCTTAAGCTGCGGAACAGTAGTATGCTAAAAATATGTACATTACTTAGGCTACAGTGTTGAAAACTCTACTCTTGCAGTAGGGGCCCATACATTCTTGAAGCAACAAATGGTCAAGATTTTAATATTTTTTTTTCTCGGTATGTATGTGAACTACATGTGTCTTTCAGAGGCTAGCCACGCATTTGCATTTGAGGTTCATGCATTGGAATTCACAGAGCATACCCCTCTTCTGCTTTAAAAAGTTTTCAGTTGAATCATTCTTTTATTGTCTATTATCGTTGCATATTCACTTGGGTCTTGACAACGCATGTTCAGCCTTAACTCCGCTCACACGGGATGTCTTCTACACTTAAACAATCGCACCACATAGCCAGTGCCCCACGTGTCCCGTGGCTTTTGCACAAAAACATCACGAGTGGTAGCTGCAGCTGTGGTTGCTACAAATACAGCACATGGTAGCGCTTGGTAGCTGCGTGTAGAGACGAACATCTCCGGACCCCGAGCTCCAGCTTGATGAAAGATCATTTAGTCGTTCACACTGTTGAACTTTTTCATCAGCAGTTTTAAACACCTCGAACTCGGAAGTCAAGCCTGAGAGTGAGCCTTATCGTGAGCCTTTGAGGAGCTTTAAAAACTCGTCCAACTCTGCAGCAGCGACTCTGAAGCTAGCATGTCGACAGGCACAAAAGAGGTTAAAAGCTGCCCCATCCCCACCAGGGTGCTCACCCTGAAGGACTGGTCCCAGCTTCCCGACTGTTACAGCCAGACACCCGGGGGTACCCTCTTCTCCACCACTCCTGGAGGTAAGAGATGTTTACACGCTTTGCTTTTGCCCCCCATCTTTCTCTATATATCTATTACTTTGTGACAGACTAATCCACCTTCTCTGATAAAGTTGTTGAAACCACAGACTTCTGTTGAAAAAGTTCGTAAACTTGACTTGTTGCAGCTGTGAAGTTTTCTGCATACGTGCAAACACTCAGAGCTCAAATAAGCTCTCGCGAGAAGTTGCAAACAATACAAAACGTGTAAAACTACTAATGTAGCCTGCGGTAAACACCACGGTGAAACAGTGCATCGAGAAACTGAGAGTTTGCAGGCTATAATAGTCACTGTAAATGGGTTAAGATCAAAATGAGGTAAACTTAGGGAGCTGGTTTGTTGCTCACATTCAGGGAGGGACAGTTGGCTGATCCCAACCCGTCCCTTTACTGTCAACAAGTTTTCTTTGGCTTGTTTTTGTGGCAAGCGAACAATGTTGTTGAACCAAAACAATTTACTTTGAAAAACAGAGCTCTTGTAAACCATATGGAAATGTATTTTAATTCAAAATAGAGTGTACTCGAAATGATAAGCAACATGTGATAATACTGCTGTTTATGCACTGATATTATTGTCAAGACAACAGGAACAGTGACAGATTTTTTCAGTGTAACACAGACTGGATTTTCATCTTGATAGACATGTATGAAGCGGAAAGGAAACATTACTGTTCAAACATGCATAGAGGTCTGAGCACGCTTTCACCTGAGTTAGCATCAGACACACTGTCATCTGAAGACAACAACTAGTCAACATGCGTACTCGTGACTTGTGATTTGAAGAGGGTGTACGTGTCCAGAACAGCAGAGTGATTGGCCTTTACAGTGGTGGAGGGGTTGAAGGCTGTCCTATCCCGGTAGCTCTCTGCTTTGCATTTCAATATCAGCAGGGAACATTCTGTACAAGTTAAAAGGAGGTGGGAGAGGAAATGTCTAATGCACAGAGAGTATGAACAGTACTTTTTTTTTTTTTTTTCAACTAGACTGCTCTGGTAAACACAGCAGTTGTAGGAAGTTGCGACATAGTTTTAACTTGTCTTCTGCAAAGTCTGCATCACATCTTGACCTCCCTTGCACATGCCTTGTGTAATTGGACCAACCTTTCTTATTTTACATAAACTGCTTTAAACTCAAGTGCTGCTTGCATTGCAATGCAATGTCTACGCTTAAGCTTAAGTTGTAACCCTCTTTTCTTGCCCCAACTTTTTTTCGCTCTACTTGACTCTCTTTTGCCCAGGCTCACCTCTTACATATTACATAACATGTTTTTCCTGCAAGGGAGGTTAAAGAGATACTGTATATAACAGTTCAAAATCCAACCCAGAAGCACAGAGCACTCCTTGACTCAGTCACGTCCTGGTCAGACTTATTACGACACGCTATTTATGACCCTGTTTTTGCTGGGGCTTGGCTTAAGTCCAAATGGTTGCCCACGTGAGACATTACAAGTAGGTTCGAGAGGCTACAAGTTGCAGAGTTTCTGCAGAGTTTTGTAATATCCTCAGTGTCATCTTTGGAGAGCTTCTCCTGCCTGTTGCATCTGCAGTAAATGGCCCAACTTTTACTCTGTCAAAGAAAAAAACATGTGTCTTTAATCCCAAGGCCCCAGGCTTCAAAGAGGGAATGTTTTGTGCTCTGATTTCCAAGAACTCACTGCAGAGGTAGCCCCCGATCCTCCCTTCTGTGCAAATGCAGAACCTCCCCTTCCCCTCTCAAATTCCCTCTCATAGAGAGCAAATGTAATTCACTCCTGAGAGCGAAAATTTCATAGAATCAAATGTTATTCAGAAATAACCTCCACTATCATTCGATCCTGTGGTATTTCAGCATCTAGTCTTCTGTTCTTGTCTTTTGAGCGTGTACTTAACATCCTTTCCAGATGTGAGATTTATGTTTGTGCACTGTAGTTCAAGATCATAATTTCTAAGTGTTTTTTTCCCTCCATAGGTACTCGCATCATCTACGACAGAAAATTTTTGTTGGATTGTAGAAACTCCCCGCTTGCCCGAACCCCGCCATGCTGTCTGCCCCAAATCCCAGGGGTAACAATACCGGCGACCCACCCTATGGGGAAACTGCAGGATCTGAAAGAGGAGGCGGAAGAGGATGAGAAGGATCTTGCAGGTAAACATCCCTCTGTATAGTTATATTTGCACTGAGCTTGACTAGCTTCATAAAGTGAAGTCTCTTCACTGGTAAACAATCATTCACTGGCTAGTGTGCTGAAACATGAGGCTGTTTGTATCCTTAAATGCCACATCTATGCTGCTGTCTACCATGTGGATCACATTTTGATTTAATGAAACCACAACTATAATTAATATGACATTTTGCCTTATGCCAACTGAACCTTATACTGCTTCATAAGTGTAAATCATGTGATAATGGGGCAGATAGGTGCAGCTTGTGTCCCTGTAGTGCCACGTCTATAGTTTGGGAGTGTAGCAGTGCTTTGTTCTGGACTGGGACAGGACTAGCTACTCACACATTTTCAACATGTCTAAGTTAAGCCCTTCAGAGGCTGTGCCTTCATAGGCAGAGCCAGACATGCAAAACTAGGCCAATGGCTTACTACTCAACGGCCACTACAGATTTTCAAACAATATGATCCTGTCCATCTCTTAGCTCCAGACTAATGGAGCTCAGTGGATTGACTTGTTGGGGCGAGGACTTAAAATTGACAGGCGTTCTTGTTTAATTGTGATCTGACCAAACAGTTTTTTACTCATAGCAAGTTAAAACTGCTGTTTAGTATCACACAGGTACTTTTAACCATCAATCTGCCCCCCTCCACTCCTCCTGTCAAACAAAAGACCACAGGGATTAGAGTTGACCCCCTTTTTCCCCTTGGTCTCCGTTGTCTGAATCGGTAAATACAGAGGACACTTTACAGGATACGGGTTTAGCAGCAGTCCCCCTTTCAGGCAAGTGTTTTGTTTGTATTTTCTTGCCAGTTGTCAGTGTAAGATAAGGTCTGTACACTTGTCGTCATTGCTGCAGACAGTTAAGGTGTGGTTGTGCTTGTGGTGCAAACACATATGATAACCAACAGCTGATTGTTTTATATCTCCTCCTAAACTTTAACTGTTTCTGCTCTCTCTCTCTTTTATCTCTTCAGATGACAACCAGTTTGAGATGGACATCTGAGCTCCAGTAATACCTCCTATGGAGAGTTATTTGTTAAAACAACTCCAAGGTCATTAATGACTGTAATGCATTACATATAAAGCTTTTTTTCTTTTCTTTTTTTTTCATAAAAGCTTTTGCAAGGAACCAAAAGAATGGAACTGGGGTGTTTTTGACCCTGGGTAAGTGTGTAAAGCACATAAAAGTTGTAATATGGTTTGACTGGTTGCTCACTCATCTGGGAGCTGAGGCAGGATTGAAAAAAAAAGATCTGTTTTGATTTAACTTTTTTATCTTTTGTAAATAAGAAAATTGTACCATGTAGCCTATTTTTTAAGTTTGGGAATATATATGATTACATTACAACATGTAGAGTTTTTCCACTGCAGGAGTCAGTTGTTTTGTCGTTTTTTTCCCCCAAAAGGGGATGGCTTATTTTGTTTGTTTTAGGCAAACAAGTTCCTCCTAATACTGGGAGATGGGGCCTACTGAAAATCAGCACCTGCTCTGTTTGTGTCTGGAGAGAGATGAAACGTGAATAATTGGAAATAAAGTCTGTTTGAACTGTCTGCAAATACTTGTCAGTCCATTTTTTAACCAAGTAGATTCCCTTATTTAGTTGAGTGTGTTTACTTTTGTTTTTATGGTGTGTGGTGTAATAAAACCATAAAATTACATCATACTTACTTGTTTGTTATCACAGAATACTCATAAATGGAGGTCAGAAATGGAACCTCAGTTTAAAAAAGTCCAGTTCAATCATTGACATTCCCTACATATTTTTTTAACTTATTAACATGAAACCATGACTCTTGTTTTGAAGTTTAAAAGGTTATGGTGCATGACAGACAGCGTCTGTTGTAAAAGCCTGAACACATGGGTTTGGTTATACCATCGTACGCTGTGTCCCAGTGTATCCATCAAAGAGCGCCTGTCGACAACACCCTTATAGCAGCTAGTGTAAAAGAACAGCATGTGGTCACAGAAACCTACATGTAGGACGGTTAATGAGTTGCATAACCACCTCATGTAAAGAGTCATATGCATTTTGTGAACTCCCCTCACACTGACAGACAGTTGGCCCACATGTGTTGAATTTATTCAGCAGTGAAGCGGTTGCTTAAGGCTACTAGCGTAAAGGTCAGACATGAACAAAATTGGATTTTACTTCAGTTGAAATAATTAACTGTTGGAATGATCTCTATATTTGACTATATTACAACAAAGTCTGGAAAATGCAGAATTTTGGCTGAAGTGAACCACACACGTATCTGAAAAATTGTACCATAAGCACATGTTGTTGACAGTTGTATGGTAAAACTAGAAAAGCACTCGGAGAGCGCAGACCTCCACCAAGCAGCTCATGTCCCCCCTTATATTGTGATTCACACCAAAACTTTTACTGTTACATGTCTTTTATTAACTTTTATTTGTGTTTAAACAGGTATGTTCACTGTTCATAATGTTCCTAAAACAACAAAGCTCATATTAGATACATAAATGCATGATTTATTATGCAATATTTGTAAGCGTACACTTCCTTTTATCTTCATTGGTTATCTTTCAGCATTGAAAATTCCAACGACACCCTCATTTTTGTGTGTTCTGGATCACAGTATCTAGAATTTTGTCTGGATCAGGATCAACCTTTCACATCTCATAAAACTCATTGAGATCCTTTTGTGTAATTTTTTACCAAAGACTCTGGCCATTTTTATAGAGTTAAATGCAAAAATTCCAAAATTTGCCCTATCTCACAATGATAAAGAATCCTTCAAAAAATTCCTGGATCTAGAAGGCGATCCGGATCACCACCAAAATGTAATGGGATCCTCCTGGGGCTGAAACGCACCTCTGGTGAAAATTTCAGGTCAATCCGTCTTTAACTTTCTCTGTAAAGTTGCTAACAGACAAACAAACCAACCATTGCTACCAAAAACATAACCTCCTCGGCGGAGGTAACTATGCTCAGCCTCTTACACAGTAAACAAGGTCAGGGTGAAGTATGCCTGCCTGTTCAAATGCTGACCTATAGATGAGAAAAGTTGACTCTAGGAGTAGGCCTGGCCTCAAGGAATGAGGGCAGCTGAAGCCTGAAAGCCTAAACACACTAAAACCACTCTGCAACGTGTTTGTGGGGGGTGTCACACTTACTGGTTATTTGTGCAGGGTGTAACCTCAATGTACAGTTATTATAATGGCATAATAATGGTAATAATAAAGCTGATGTATGATTTTAAGAATTCAGCACTAATAAAAATGTCTAATTTTGAATTGTTGAGTTTCAGTGTAGAATCCCGGTTAAAACAGATCAGCAGCAGACAGTGTATGTCATGTCCAAGTTGGTGATGTAGGTCAGTCAGTGGGTCAGTCTGCTCAGCTGCTCTGTTCCCATGCATGGCCTTGCAGAGTTGACTTGCCTCTCGTTGGCAGTGCAAAGCCAACACCTGCTTTCAGTTCCAGTGCTCTGATTTATTGCACAGTTTTAATAGTTAGACTAAGGGCAAGTTTTAACATGCTCAAAATTTGGTTCATCTAAACCCTTTGTTTATCTTAGGGGTTTGCATGCCCTACACCAAATTATGGACCCCTACTGGACTCAGTGTTGCACATGATATTGATTTTTTCTAAAAGTCAAGGTAATACTTGGTCTGCCAACTGTTTGTGTTCACTTGGATCTTTTGGTAAAACGTGCTGTTTGACCTGGATGTACTGTTTGAACTAGTGTGTGTTTGTGCAAATGCACGTGAGAGCAGGGCCAGGTGCCAGACGACAATGGAAACTGCCACATGTACCCACAGTGTAGTTTTGAGGGATTTATTTTCAGCACAGAGGAAGATATAACACTGACATTGATACTCCACAGATCTCACTGTCATGCATTCACACAGAGTTTTTGGTGACATAGACTGGCATGTGTACCCATGACTTCAGCATGAAGAACAAATTACCCAACAGGTTGTCAAATATTAATTCCCCCACCTTTGTCAGGAGGATATTTGTTGATTTATGATTACAACATAAGCGACATCATAAGGTAAAGTGACTATTGACTCTGGCTCAGAATAGCTCTCACATGACTGAAAGGTCAGATGGGTGGGGACAAATGCACACGTGACACTGCAACTGCAGGTTCAGAATTAGATTTTTCAATCAAAATCACACAATTTATGCAAAAACGATTTCAAAAAGATTTAGACCAACTGCAAAAGAGTATTTTCTTTAATGCAAATCAAATAGTTTAGATTTAGTCAAGTATAAATATTCACTTTAATATCTTACAGTAATATGCTGTTGATCATTTTTGATGAATAATGAAATTGTACAGTTAATGAGATTAAATTAAAACATGTTGTTGTGTCAACTCTATGGTCAGAGAGGAAGGTCCCCAAAGTACATTTATGCCTTGGCATGACAGTGACACTTAAGCCCCGTCAGTGACTTTAAGGACAAGCTATCTGTCACTAAGCGACAGCCAAGAAAGTGTCTGGAGACACTTGGCAAAATGGTTTTATTGTGTACAAATATGATTAAACCCCCATATTGTTCCATTTTGAGCCTGATAACTATAACTAGACATATTTCATCAGTAGAAGTCTAAATCAAGATACCAAACACACAAGACACATGGCACCGCACACTTGCATCCTATAGATTACATAGGAAATGTTTGATCTCAGTTTGCAAAGGAACCAGTTGGTGTAAACAACTACAATCCAAAGAGCCCTGCCTCCCCCCTGCTTCAAAAACCTTGGTAAGCTAGTGCTCCATTGCCCTTTTCCAAACCCCCTTCCCTCGTGTTTCATCTCCCACCCCCTCCCGCTCCCCTCTACTTTCTATGTGAAAGGGTTGGATGGCTTTGGACTGGTCGCTGAGGTTCTATTTTTGTCAGCTGCTCCTGTTGGAGCTGTTGGTACAGGCTCAGGCTGTATTGCTGGGGTGACAGTGTAAACAGACACTCAAACACAGAGCCCACTCTGTGATATCTATCATGACAGGGAGGGCACAGGGAACAGGGCCGCTCTCAGACACTTTATGTTGCACCTCATTATTCACATTGTAGAAAGACAATCGGTGGGTTTACAGTGTGACACCAGTTGAACAAAACAATAAATCATGATTACATTCTTGGATCACAAATGTTTTACTAAGAGGTTAAAATCTTTTTTTTTAATTTGGTAAGTGAGGCTTTCAACAAAAAGGGCAAGGTAATGGCTATAAACATTCAACAGTTCAATTTGAATTGCCCTCACAGCTAAATCTACATTGAAAACAAGCCTTTGAGTCCCTCAAATCTGTCTTCAATCGATCTATGGCTGCTGCCACACTAGTGCAAAATATGTCACAAGTAACAGTATCTTTGACAAAGATCTTTTCCATTCATAACTTTGTACCAACTGTAAAAATAGCTTTGTGTGTATATGCCAAAGGCCAAGTCCTTGCACTCTAGGGGCACCACTGGTCTATGCCTATGTCTGCTGATGTAAGCTACCTATTGTATAAGCTCACTCTGCAAGCCTTTTCACATACAGTACATGCATCATGGTCTGGTATCACCTTTCAGGGTGGTGAATATTTCATTTAAGGTCCACTGTCGGTGGCAGCTGTCATGCTGGCTGCCTGCTGGTATGCTACTATATTCATACTGTATTCATGCTATGTCTGATGGGGGAACTGATATGATGTGTCACAACTCTGTCAGCCCCTATATCTCTGGGTAACGTGAGGGCGTGAATGCAGGACTTTTGCTCGTAATGTTCAAGCTGGGTTGTTGCCACTGTTACCTGAATGGATTATTTAGAAATTTCCAACATCACTCTCTTTCATGCCCTCAAAGTTCATAAACTTATAGCATAGAATATATTGAGCATGCATAAGTTTGTAAGTGTATCTACATGCCCTTCAGTCAGTGGTGGTTGTCTTGTTCATGTAAAATATGCAGACAGACACTGAGATTAAAAACATACCACCGAGAATGATCATGTGTCAAAGCTCTTTCCAGTTTTAAGAGAAACACACACACACACACACACACACACACACACACACACACACACACACACACACACACACACACACACACACAGACCCTTTTGTCAACACAAGATTTGACAGTCACACAGACATGACATTATAAGATTTTGAAACCAGCATAGTTTGCAAGTGCATGATTTATTAAAAATTTCCCCTTATACATAACTGAACTTTGATCTCTCAGCATTTAACCCACTAACAGACAATTAATTGTTTTTTTCAGCCAAACAGCTAAAATTTAAATTTCAATGTAACTTACATTAGGGGCTCATGAAATTAACTATATACTATAGGAGGGCGCTTTGCTTAGTGTAAAGCAATACAAATAAGTTCCCCTCTGAATGAATAAATGTATGGATGACCCAGAGCCGGCCCGAGACATAAGTGGACGAAGCGCCCTAGAGCAATCAAAAAAAAAAAAAAACAATATATATATATATATATTGCATGTATAAGTGATGCTTTCTGTATGATCAAATATATATTATTGTAAAAATAAAATAAAGTAAAAATATTTTAGTGCTGCTGCTGATGTAGGCCTATGATTCTTACTGCCAATATGTCAAAGCTCCGCTATCGTTATGTGCCTCCTGCTGTGCAATGTGCACTGAGCATCCTGAATGTGTTACATTTTGAGATTAAAAACCATATGTGGCACCCTCAACATCATTCATCAGTCATTCATTGGTATTATTTGTATGGTTGCATTTGTATTATTTATGTTATTACCTAGGCCAGCCCCTTAAATGTGTAAAGACATGTCAGGCGCATTAAATTTATACTGTAGTAGGTGTGTGAATGATCAACAATCAACATTATTGGCAGAAATAGACGGCCCCAAGATTAAATTTTGCTGAGGGCCATATTGAGGCTTGGGCCGGCTCTGGGATGACCGAATGAGTAAGTTTGCAGGAGATCATGAAAAACACGGAAAACTGGGAGTAGTCTGACATCTGCTGGTTTAAAGTCAGTAATGCACCCAAAACAAAATTGTCTTCTTAAATTAAATTAGGTTAGATACAACTTTATTTCTCATTTTTTGGGGGGTCCCTCGAGAAAATAAAAATAAAAATAAATTATATTTAAAAAAAACCATGAAGGTGATCTATGCCTAAAAAGAGCCCTGAAAGATTTTTATGACCACATTATCGTCAAAATCAATAATATTGGCTGTAATGGCTTATTGCATAACAAGTTAAATTCTGAAGAAGATGGCGACACTGTCACTAGTTATTGATTAACAGTCAGTCACCCCCTTCCCCTCTAATAATTTCGTCAGTGTTTCGGTGATGTAGTCATTTTAATCATTTATTCAGTCAGATGACCAGGAGTCATTGCTTTTCCTGGACGCCTCTCCGTTTATCGCTCTGAATTATGATTGGACGCTGAGAACAGCGGGCTGTCGAAAGAGCCAATCCCCTCTTTTGTCCCCCCCATGACGTTCGCTTGATATGACGTAACGTCGCACGAACTCCACACGCAGTGGATTTCATGCACAGTCAATGGTTTCAACGGAGAGGGACCGTTGCGGTAAAAGATAATAATAACAGACGTCGAAATAAGGAGTACTTTCAGTGGGAAACGACGTTTGTGTCCTCTGCGGTAGACGGGAACATTGTTTGTTTAAAGGTAAGAGGTTCACACATTTCTCCAAGTCTTATTTTTCGTGTTTAAGAGCCTTGTCATCAGGAACTTAGGGGGCTAGAGAATTGGACAGTGCTACGGAGGGCTGTGGCCTGCAGGTTCCTCCTGTTGTTGGCCCATTTTCATAATTACTCAACCAAAAATTGAATTGCAATATAAATACTGTATGATAGGAAAAATAATTAATTCAATTATGATATGATTACTAACAAGAAACTCGACTGAATCACAAAGTCTAATAATTATTAACCAGTCAAATTGGATCTTTTGAACTGATTGTGGTAACAGGAAATTTGATCAGTTTATGTTACTAGTTTGCTTGACTCAGTGTTTGTTTGAGATAGTTGTGATTCATATTCTTCCTAATTAGGTCCAATGGGGTGTCTTGGAGTACACCAAGACTCCTGGTCTTGTGATGTCTCCAGGCATAGATACAGGTTACCTGGCTACAGAGCTCCTGCTGTTTAACTATGATAATTCAGCCTTTGTGTGCATTCTGGACTACATATCGTTGGCTTGTTATGTATTGAATTAGGCAACACCTTTCTTGATAATCACTATTATAATTGTGGTGTTTGAATTTTACCACCAGGACATAGTATTTACTGTTTTTAATTTCCATACAGCTGCTACTACTAGGCCAAAATGAGTGAAACAGTATTTAGATTTCTTTTTGATTTAATACCTTGTTTTGCCTCTACTGTAATCTTAAGAGGTCTTAAGGATAGAAAGTTATTAACTTTGATCTGCTAAGTGGCTCATGATTAGTCCTGGTATTGTAATTACCTTTTTGTAAGTGACATGAACGTGCTTTTTTATTTACTTGTTAAAGTCATGAGATTCAAAGGTGTTTTATGTGTTGAGAAAAGTCTTATCCTGACCTGTCTCAGGTGTCTGTGTGTGATATCATCACCGTCATATTGTTGTGGAAACACTGGCTGAGCTCACTGCCTATTCTTGCAGTTCAACAGGGGAAAAACAAATGAAGCACATGCAAATGAATGTACAGCAAACATACACTCACACTGTGAACAGAAGTCAGACCTGTATCAATACAAGTGGATTTGTAGTAGTATAATAAAGGCAAGATTACCTACACACAAGGTGAACTTTGATGCGGTATGCATGCCATTCCCATGTCAGATTACTGATTAAATGTGAGCTCAATTCAAAAGAAGCCCTCTCTCAGTCTTTACCCAGTAACCCAACACCTTCTAGCCACAGATGAGCTTAAACAAAAGTCCAACAGTCAACAAAAGACGCCTCCGTGTTATCAGAAAGAATAAGATTGTGTAATTGCTTTACTTTACTTCTCACACTGCCTGGAGGTACAGCAAAAAGAAATCATCAGGGATCACTCTGTTCTTCCTTGTACGTGGTAACCATAGATACAGAGGCCTTGCCATCTGTTCGAAGCCTTAAGAACACATTCAGGTGGTGAATGTCCAGCCATCTTGTGAAAAAAAGCAGGAGCTCATTTCTGATGTTAAATCAGGAAGTTGTAGGTCTAATTTAGCTGTTTCGTTCTTATATTTCCCACGGACTGTTTTTTCTTTCCTTAAACAGTCATTTAAAGTTTCTAAAAGTAACATTACACAGAAGCTAATATTAAACCTTGTTAGAATATAACCAGACTCAGTTTACAGCCTCTACATAGCTTTAAGACAGAAGATTGTATGTGGAAACAGAAGCTGAACCTGCTGTTCAGGTGTTTATACTGTACATATACGGCAGGACAGAGGAATCCTCGGAGGCCCTGAGGAGTTGCTGTTTTCCATCGAGTCCCTTTTTCTCTTGTCAGTGCTGCTCTACCTGAACAAATCCACTGATGAAGGCTCACATGAGAGCCGTGATGTACGCTGATATGTTTTATCGGAAGGCATTGGTGCTTGGCCGGGTAATGCACTTCCTTTTCATGTGGAGACTAATGGGTAAAATAAACTCGGACACTTACCTGATTACAAACATTTATTGCATTGTCTGTAGGGGCTGAACAATACAACGCTTTCTGGATAAGTAACGGTATTTGAGTGGTGGTTTCTTATACCCTCCACTCGTTTATCTCACGTATATTGAAACTAGAAATGTGTGATGTTGTGAATTTGACACAACACTTTTTTTCATGCTCGTGTCTCTGAGGAAAGGAATAAACCAAGTGTGAAGTTACAACCAGTGCAGGACCATTGTCTCTTCTTACCATCTCTGTCCCATGTTTCAATTGATTAGCCTCAGTCTGCACACTGTGACGATGACTCATCCATTTGAAACGCCTCTGTGTGAACAGTAGCATAGTGGTGCTTATCTCTGTTAAGGCTGGTGTGGGTCGTGAGTGGCCAGTGACTCACAAGACACCCTAAACAAATTATGAAGTCTGATGCTGTGCTTGTTTACTGTTTGGCTGTGGAGAGACTATGATTGTCTTTTTATTTTGTACATAGGACTGAAAATCCGTAAAATATGAGTAAGAATGGGTGAAGGAAATAGGGAAGACAACTCCCTGCTCTGCACTTCTCTTTTCTGGGAAACAATTGTTTCATTTTCATGCCTGCCTGGAAAGGTTGTGCTCTCATATCAGGACTCTGAGGAATTCAATGCCTCATGTGACTCTAAGGACAGATTAACTCATACTTACTCAATTACATTTTCGACATACAATACCCAACTTTGTTCTGATTTCCACTTTGTCGAACAAGCTAGAGTTAAATAGTTTGTCTAACGATAAAGAAAACTGAAAATGCTGATTGTGGGTCATAGCAGCCTCCCTGTATATTAAAACCTGTCGTCAATTTCTGTGTTTTAGGTGATTCTTCAACCCAATAATGAATTTTGAGCAGCCCCCTCCATACCCAGGCGGTGGCCCTACAGCTCCAGGCTACCCAGCTCAGGGCCCACCACCACAAGGCTACCCTGCCCAGGGTTATCCTCCGCAGGGATACCCTGTGAACATGGAGCAACCTAATCCAGCCTACCCAAATTATGGTGCGGGCCCAATGGGCCCTGGAGGCCCTGGAGGCCCTTATCCTGGTCCAGGTCCTTATCAAGGATACCCTGGACAACCACAGTTTGGTTGGCAGGGGGGTCCTCCTCCTGGGCCAATGTATGGGGAAGCACCCAAAAACACAGGTGAGTGGGTAACATAGGAAAGTGGTAGAAATGTTCATAATAGTATCAGAATGGATTAGCTCACAGACCAAATAAGACAAAAGAGGTGTTTTCCTCACTGCCAGTTGTTGGCAATAAACCCAGAAATGTCGGGAATGTCTTGGGCGTTTTGGGTTTTCAGTGCATCTAGCAGTCAGTAGTCTCATTTTATAGAAACACTGACAGCACACATATACAAAATTTAGAGGAGGCTCCCAAGACAACAGCTTTGTTTACGTTTTGTAAGTGTGTAAGCAAACTTCTGCGTAACTGGATTGATGACTGGGACTAGAGCTGTGTTTGGGGAGTGACAACAGACTGATGAGTTTCATAGTTTGCAGAAGAATTTAGAATAACATAATGTAGTGTTATAATTTATGAGAAAGTCTGCTATGAGTCTACATTATTTCACTACTTCCATAAGAATGTCATGTTCAAATTAAAATGTCAAATGATCAAATATGAAAACATTTATCAACAGGATCTTAAATTAGCTTGCCTTTTGTTTGTTCCCTGAAAGTCCTTTATTCACAGAGCACATTTTTTAGTTTATAAACAGACAAAGCAGTAGTTTAAATCTTAAAACAACCTATTGCTCGGTTCCAGTTGGCTTCTCCTGTTTCTGATCGAGCTGTCACAGTTGACAGCTCGGCAGGAAGCCTCAGATGTTGGCTTTCTACTCAAAAAAATACCCAGCACTTAATCTCACCATTCATTCTCTGTCCGTTGAAGGATATAGTAATGAATGAATTGTCTCAACCACTTGGGCTGAGAAAAATGCAAAAGCAGCTGGTAGCTAGAAAAAGCAGGCGGGGATTAGATTGTGTGAAGTCAAGCCAGGTTTAAGATAAAAGGTGCGTCGATGCGGTAACACCTCAAACTGAGCATGCAAGATGAAGTGCACAAGTTGTGAAACTAAAAGCACACATGCCTTTGCAAAATATTCAAATTTAATATGCAAAGAAAACAGTGAAGCTTCCAGAGAAGCTAGTTCACACTTTTATGAAGAAAGCAGTGAGGTGTTAGTGAATTTAGTTAAACCTCTTCTGGCTGATCAGAGGAGACTGTTCTGCTGTCAGGGATCCTGCCTCTGATAGAGATATGCTTTCATAATACAGGCACATCATGACTCTATACCTCTATGTCCCTCTCTTATCAGTCTTTGGTCTAGTCAAGTGGCCAGCTAGCACAATTTTATCTATTGACTTTGAGCTGGTCACTGTGGTAACACATTCACCTATGCCATGAGTCACTGCACATGGTTGTTAAAAGCTGGCTGAGTGTCTCCCTCCACATGAATGATTAATAACAAACACAAGGAGGAGAGGGAGAGGTATTTATTCAGGGCTGTTGTTTGACTTGTTTTTTTGTTTGGAACAGATGGTAAAGCTAACATATGGGTAATGTAATCCTTTTATAAAACAGGCCTCATTAGGATGTATTGACTCTACATCCACTGTTATACATGTAAAAGCTGTGTCGAGGTTTGGAGGTGTGTCGTTCTGACATTTCTTCTCTTTTAGAGTCGTTCAAAGCTGTGCTACTCAACTGTATCACTATCTTTTCATGGCTCTTGGCTGCTATGGCATTACCATGGTGATATGCTTCCCATGATGAATGTAATTAGGGGAAAATCGTAGCAGCCGTGGCCACACTTGAATTCGCAGCTGGAGACCTGACAGTGGGATCTTGAACAATTATCCTTGGTTTTTATGTAACTTTGCAGAATGAATCACTGATTGCTTTCTTTTAATTGCCCTCCTTTCTTTTTTTATCCTCTCCGTACGATCCTCTCATCTCATTTTCAATCCTCCCGCTCTTCTTCTTCCTCTCTCTCTGTCTGTCTCTGTCTTTCCCTTCAGTGTACGTGGTGGAGGACAGGAGAAGAGACGATACAGCGGACACATGCCTGACAGCCTGCTGGACAGCTCTGTGTTGCTGCTGTCTCTGGGACATGCTGACATAACGTACTCCCCAAATGGCTGCTCCCATTACCCTCTTGTCCCCCATTTCTGTGCCTCAAGCCACAACACCCTGACTGCCCCCCCCCATCTGCCTTACACCTCACACTCCATTAGAACCACTCCCATGTATTCCCTGTCCCAGTCTTTTGCTTGTCTCTGAAACAGCCTTGATCCCACATGGACATTTCCTGAAAAAGCCACTTATTCCTCCTCAATGTGAAGTCCTCAGCACTGACTAACTGACTGACTGACCCTGTGCAGGGGAAACTCTGTAGCAGCTTGTAACTGAGCTTCTAAGCATAACCTGAATCTCAGGCTCCTGGCTGTAATCTTACACCAACATATATACAAACACACACACACACACACACACACACACACACACACACACACACACACACACACACACACACACACACACACACACACTTAGCTACACAATAACACATGCACACAAAGTGTATTTGGATCTCAGGCTCATCTAGTGTGAGGCTCTTTGGCACTTTATGATGATTACCTCTGTAAGATATTACTCCTGCCTTTCCTCTCAGCCATCTCCAACCCTCCCTATCCCTACATTAAGCTATGCTACTCCCTTTCGCCAAGGACAACCCTGTGTCCCGGACCCTCCATTTCCCACAAGCCACTAAGACCCTGGCTACTCATGCGCCACGGTATGCTCTTAAGAAGCTGATGCTTGAATTGTATCCCTTTCATTTGCACAGAAGCTGTTTTTGCAAACGTTCGTCTTCAAGTGAAATCATATGACAATACATGGAATGCATTTTGAAGATGACAATGATTTGTGTTTGATTACTGTTCACAGTCAGAGGCCTCAATGTTCCTTATTTTCACAGTGATCTTGATATAATAAATTATTCCAATATTATTTGTATGAAATACCTTGGTGATAAAACTGAAAATGTGAAAAAGTTATGATTGCAGAAGAAACCAAATGACTTGTAAATGCCTTTTTGCTTTCGATGAGAATCTTGCATTAAAATAATTTATTCCCATTAACTGGCAGACTTTGATGCTTGTTTGTTTCAGGGAAATGAAGAGTGTAAGTGTGTGAATGTTGTGTGGGAGGTTCAGGGGGAATGGGGAGTATAGATCAGTATACTGTGTCTGCCTGAGGCCTGGCCAGATCCATTCAACTATTTATAACACAGCTGCTGGAGCAGGATGTTGGTTGCAATGTAACTCCCTGCCTGATTGACTCATAATATGTTTACCAAAGTGAAGCTGAGTAAGATTTAAGCATGCAAACGAATTATTTTATATCAAAACTCTGATTCAGAGGAAGCTAATGCACTGTTCTTTCTACTGCATTTACAGAGCCAGAGACTTATTTTTTTTTAAATCTTGGATCAAACTTGAACAGAATAAACAGGATTAAGCTAACTGAATACTATACATCTTAAGATATAACCACTGGGTAGTTTATAAAACTAGCCCAAACTTGACCATCTATACAGCCAGGAGGCATTCTGCTAATTGAGTACTTTTACTTCTGCCACTTCAAGTAGCTTACACTGATAATCCACCTGCCATTTGGTTTGATTTAAACGAAGGTCTTATGAGATTAGTGCCAGTAGTACAACATCCTGCAGGCACTTCCTTTAATTGGCCACTTGGGGGCGCTGGAAAAAAGCTCTAAGCACCACTGTTCACAGCATGTTAGTTAATCAGGCGTTTGTGGTAGTAGTTTATCTTTTTACATGAAAGGGAGCAACACGAACATTAAATTGGAGTCTGTTTGTGTCCAATGTCACTTTTTTTACTGCTGTTTGGTGCTGCAGGTAGCACGCATCAAGCTTTCATATAAAAACCAGAACTCTGCCTGACAGCTGACTATGAAGCCATCTACTTAGGAACAGTGAGCTGTGAGGGGGTGTGTGATAACACTGTGGGAGTCCTTGAACATCACATGGCTGTATAAACCCTTACTGTTACACTCGAAAATAAACTTATTTTGCTGCCTTTAAAGGGAGTAGATTTATCTTGAAATTAACTGAATAGAGCGAAATAATGTGAGGGAATTACAGTTACTTCTGAGCAGTTCACAGAGGATACCGTAAAGGTTATTAAATACGTGAGTCCAGAGTTAAACAATTGTGTTTGGAGGAGGAAGTCAGTAGATGTGTCTGTTAAAAAAACGAATAGTATCTGGAGCACATACTGTATGAATTTGTTAGACTGATGAATAATTTACAACAGAAGTAAAAATCTGCATTAATCAATGACTCTTTTCAGCGCACTAACAAACCTCAAAAGTTTGCTGTGAATTGCGACTGACGGTAATGTATGTCTGTGAGAAGGAGAAGGGAAAGCGCAAAGAACATGAACTTCAAACACAAAAACAAGATGAAAGTGAAGAACACGATGCTGAGTCGAAGTAAACAATTATGTTTTATTGATAAGGTTCTCAGAAGAGTCTCGTTTCAGTGAATGTATAAGAATCATCCTTTGATAATACTGATTTGGTACATTATGACATCCAGCACGAGTTCTCTTCACAGTGAGAGGGATCCATTACTGCTACTGCTGTCGGGATCTAGGACAGAAACATCTCTGCTTCCAAACAAAAACAGTCAAAACAACAAACTGGGGGTTGATATTGTAGATATGGAATATTAGAGTGCCACAAAACTCTAGAGTAGTAAGACCAGCTAAAGATTTTGCACATTACAAGCCACTTCCTCTTAGAAATATAAAACTCGATATTCTTGACAATATTCTACTGTGCTGCATAAAGGTAGGTCTATACACTGTACATCGAAATATATTTCGAAAAAACAGATTCACAGTTTTAAAGACTTTATTTAAAGTATAAACCGTTTTTTAAAACACTTTATTACATAAATTATTCTTTTTGAGAGTGACTATTATTTGCCCTGGCAGCAAACTGAAATTAATACAAAAACAAAATGAACATTTCATACATATTTTACAAAAGAAAATAAACTCATCCATTATGTTCATTTGGAATAGAACTGGTGACTCATTCATGATTGTCATATAGTACTAAGAATAAATAAATAGAAAAGATTAAAATAAAATAAGTACTAACTTAGCATGATTTCCGGACTCTGTGAGTTGTGTGTTTGATCGTTCTGTACAGAAGTGCCTTGGTGAAAGTCTCACAATTCTACCGCGACTGAAACGTACAAAACTACGGCATCTACAGTATACGCAACATCCTGAAATTTAGTGTAGGCGGACACATATGTAGTAATATGATTCTTCTCCCCATTTCAAAATAAACAATGCTGTGTGATACCACTGTCCACAAATATAGCCATCACTTTTTTGACTTTGTTTTTTTTTAAAAAGTTTCTTTTGTAGTTTATGAACAGCTTGAATTTCTTCATGATGCCGTTAGTTTGTGTGTTGCTTGGTTGGGTGTGTGCTGCCTCAGCAGCAGCGGGCTGGTCCGTGGTGGACGATGGAGGCCTGAGACAGGGAGACAACTCGTAGTATTGAACGACCTTTAACAATGCCTTGTCTGTCGCTGTTCATGGTGTCCTCTGGTGGTGTGAAGTGGTAATGCCTGCACTCTGGAGTAGCTTTGTCTCCACTTTGGTCCCTGTGCCTTCAGTGTTTATTAGAGACAGACAAGCCTGGACTGCAGAAAGCCAGAGCAGTACAACTCCACTGTGTGATCAGTAGCTGTCATGGCCGCTCTCGGTGTGACCCAAAAAATATGGGCGAAAATATCACTATCTTTTTTAAAAAGGGGAATCTTCTTATACACTAAGCAACAGTTCTTAAAGTTCTTCAGTGCTTTTTCAGGTGTTCAAAGTTTGTTCAAAAAAAGAGCCATTTGACCAAACGTTAAATTTTTTTGCCTATGGCAGTAAAATCAACAATAGGTTTTCTGATAAGTCATTCTTTTTAAAAGTCCCTGCAGCGTTCCGTGAGTAACCCCATTTGTTGGTTAAATCTCCATGGGTTTTTAAAGGAGAAGGGCTGAGGAGGCTGGGTAGGAATAGGGAGCAGGATCTAGAGAAGTGAGAGTGGGAGAGTGAAGAGTCTAGCCCTCAGGGCTGTTACCTCTTGCCCATCTCGTTCTGTCTGAGGAACTGGATGTTGTTGCTGCTGTCAGCCAGTTCTGGGTACTGCTCTACAGGCAGTACATAGTAGCCATCATAGCCTTGTACCCTGCCTGTCGTTAGAAGCTGCTGTCTCTCCCCCTCCGTCCACAAGCGGCTGCCCCCCTTCCCATCCCTGGCCCTCTGCTGCTCCTTGGCCCAGGCCCCAGCCAGAGCTCTTTGCCTGGCCAGCTCCAACAGTCTTACCTTCTCTTCATCCACCACGTCTACAGCGAGCCCGTACCGAACACTGAGTACTAAAGAGGGAACTGCAAACTCCACAGTCACTCCTCTTCTCGAGCGGCCACTCACCGTCACATTGATACCGCTCTCCAGTGACTTTCGCCCATTTGTGAGCCCCAGAGCCAACAGATCACTGTCAGCAGAGCCCACTTTCACAAAGTAGTGACAGTCTTTCCCGTCCTGGGTGTAATGGGTGCCCTCAAGGTACTGGGCTCCATTGAGTACCAGAGCCACCTTACGGCTGTCATCGCTGGCTAAAGCTGACACTCCAGCTACCACTCGGCCTTCTTTCAGAGCCAGCATGACTCCCCGGCCTATTATAGGAGTACTGGTGCCGAACCAGTGACCCGGTTTGTCCTTTCGTCTTCTGCGTTCTTTGTTAAGGAGACGACCCTCGAGAGCCATGAAGGCCTGGTTGTGACGCTCTGCCGCCTGCTGCACACCAGTGATGAGCTACAGGAGAGAAAGAATTAAGCTTTGTCACTTTTAGACAAACATAAATGACTGCCACTTTTGGATATCGGTGCAAAAGGAACTTGCATCTGCATTAACACGCACATTCACAAGAAAAGCTGAATCACTATCGAGAGACTTCTGTTAGCTTTGATTCTGTTGACAATAAATTCAACACTGCCTCATACCTGTCCGTTCTCACAGTGCTGTGTGGCCTGCAGCTCGTACGGGGGCTCCACAAAGTAGAGCGAGTGTCGAGGGAACCCAGGGATTATGTTACTGAGCTGGAAGCCAAACATCACCAGCCAGCTCTTCACATCTACAGCAGACAGGATGAAAAATTCATTCTCTGAGTAACAAAGTTAAACAAGGATGCAAATGAATCATTTTTCTTCATAAAAATGTGAAAGTGTATTTGCGCCTGGGACTCATCTGGTGTTATGCAAAGCTAGCAGCAAGCATGCCATCTGTAGTAGATCGTAACTAGCTCAAACTAGCTTGTCTATGACAATCTGTTTCTTCTGAGTGCCGGAGTTATCAAAGTTAACGTCAGGACATATTGAGATGTCCAGAGATTGTTCTGAAAGAGTGACTGAAATGAACACTATGGTGGTGATTTAACTTAAACATGCTACTTAATCAACACAAAACTCTTACTAAAAAAGTGTTCATTCTGAAAACCAGCATTTCAGAGGAAGGAAAAATTCATCAATCATGTACTTAGATTCATTTAAACAAAGTAAAAGTGCATAAATGTTTACCTGTGACATAATTTTTGACATCCAGCATGTCACTGAGGGGGTTGTTGTTTTTAAACATGTACAAATTAAATGGAGAGGGATCCTTCCCGATCTTGGGCCACATGCTGTAATCCGGTGAGGTCCAGCGCCCGGCCAAGACATCATAATCTCTCTGGGTGAAGTGGACCAGCTTAGTCAGGGGGTCATAGAGACCACCGTGGAAACCGACCACCAGCTGGAACTCAGGGTTGGAGTCCAGGTATACCTCTCCGTAGGCTGTGTACTGCACCTGGGTGACACAAGCAGAATCAATTTGCTCCTGGTTATTCTCAGCTCTGCCTCTGGGAAAAGGGTCAGAACAGCGTGTCAGGGACAGGAGAGGTTCCCTGGAGAAGCTTCGTCTGATTTTTTTTTTACACCTAACTTGAGCAGTGATAGATTTGAATCAAAGTATTATTTAAAACTTTGTGTTTTACCTGTTTGATCATTTGTCCAT